GTTCACGCGTTTTGCGCTCCTGCCCATTTCAATATGGGTACATCTCCTTGATTTGGTGAATAGAACACGCTTTTGACTCGGCTCTCTGTAGGGAAAGAATCAATCTCGAAAAATTCAAGAGGTGGTAATGCCAGAGGTCGGCAGAATGAAGCCCATCGTCGCAAAGGAAGTCTTCGAAGAGATGAAAAGGACAGGCATTCGGGGGGACAAGGAGTATCTCAAGCAATACCATGCAAGGAGATGCGAGGCAGATGTGGGTCCTTCACCAAACCGTGTTGACCCGATCTGTGACGCCTTTCTCGCAGTTGACTGCATTGCGAAAGAAACTCCTCCAGAAACATAAATGTGGACCCCTGAGGACAATGATACTTCCGCCACTGTCCCAGCTTCCTGTGTTTATAGGCTTTACCATCATTCTCAGCAGGCTGTCGCAAGACCCGACACCTTTCGATTCGGAATCCTTCTTGACCTTGACCACTCTGGCGCATCCAGATCCAACCATGACCCTTCCCATCGTCTTGGGTCTTATTACCATGGCGAATGTGGAATCCAACAACTGGCTGATGAATGCAACTGAACGTGCGAAACTCCGCAGACTTGAGCAGGAAAAAGCGAAGAGGATTACGGAGAAAGGCACAAGAAGCATCAAACTAGGAAAGGTCGTCAAAACTGCGCTCAGAGGACTCTCCGTCCTCCGCATAATCATTGCTTCTGTTACGCCTGGCGTGGGTTTTTGTTTTTATACATTGAACTGGCACTTATGTTAGTGTATAGAGCATTGCCCTTTATTGGGTGACATCTGCAACTTTCGGGTTGATTCAAACATATGTTATGGATTGGATGGATATCCGGCGAAAACGACTGCTAACAATGCCAGTTCCGGTGTCAGACCAGCATAACGAAGGGCACAGGGTGAAGCAACAACATCAGCCAGCCCGGAAGCGTTCGTAATTGTCGCAAGGTCACATATGTGAGCTATCATTTCACCTTGTGCTGGAATGAAAAAAAAAGTGGTTGCGAGGGACCCCTTCTTAGGAACTGGTGGATGCCCGGTGAACCTTCCTTGATCTAATATGACCCTACGACGTATGATTGTCGTTGACTCGGACTGAATGCCACCCTTCCAGATTCTTACTGCCATGGCACCTCTCGCCTTGACGAGATTTTTGAAATGGCCAAGTCTCCAACCATGGACAATCGAGCACTTGCGCGACGAATAATTTTTTGCGGTTACAATACAAGTCGCAACTTTCGATTTTTCAATCTCTCTAAATAGGGTTTGTCAATACATACTGTAATAATAATCAAATACAGAAGACGAGGATTTGAATGCTGGGTATATGAGATGATACAACAGGATGTCCAAAGAATAGGGATGTTAGGCTAAGCCACCCCATGGCCCACGAATACGACGAGCAAGTTGAATATCCCGGGTCATGATCGTGACGCGTTTTGCATGAATCGCACACAGATTTCTACATGCCTTCAACAAAGGAGCTTTTTAGAAAGAAACCTTTTAAACTTACGCATCCTCAAACAAGTGAACGAGATATGCCTCGGTCGCTTCTTGCAAAGCAAGGAGAGCAGAGCTTTGCCACCGAAGTCCCGAATCACCATAGTCATTCATGTCTGTCGTCATGTTCTCCGCAATCTCTCGAACCTTGCTCCGATTTCAGTGCATGTTTCACTGGCGCAATTGCGAGAAGACATACCAAACGAGAGAATGGTAATTTTCGTAGTAAAAGATCAGTGCTTTTCTGATACTTCCGTATCTCTCGCAAGGCAACAGTTCCAGGGCGGTACCGTCTGTTCTTCTTGTGACCTGGTACAGGTGCTGTGACGGCCATGTCAATTGAATTGAAACCACACGTAAGAGTCAACAGACTTGCTAACCTGTCGCCTGGTGGACGCCACTTGTTCTGCGAGGTGGTTGCCCTCCAGTACTTTTCCGGGCAGTTGCTGTCTTCGACTTCTTAGCCACAGGAGTGGGAGGATCTGAACCTCCAGCCGGGGCCTTGCGCTTTGAGGGATTCCCCCTCTGTACTGTCTGAGCCATTCTAAGAAGAATTGAAGAACGCGCAGAGGATGCGCAAACAACAACGCGCAAGAATCAAGATGAACGCGGGTGGTTCAGTTTTGCCCGTAAAAGGAAATTATTTGGATCGTGATGCACGCGACTTGATAAGGCCAAGTACTTACTTATGTAATCAGCACTTACCACCCATGGCCAGAGACACAGTCCTCACAGGATACTACCGATATACAGACATCTGGTTCGAGTGGTATGGCGCATTTCAAACATAAGAGGCTATCAGACTGAATATATCCAGGGCACAAGCTTTACCAGACGTCGAAGACCGAGAGCCACTGAAAGCGATACTCGGTCAGTTTGGCTGATAATCGCACACCCCCGCATTGTGCACTTATCTCCATCAAGCCCATGATGCTTTGGTGGATCCTGAGCATCCGCTTCACATTGATGGTGTCAATGGCGTCCAGCTGTACATCGGTATGTCATCGTGTGTTACATCCCTCTCCCTTCTGCTTATCTCGATTATTCGAGGAACGTTCTCTTCTGGAGAAGCCAGGCTTTTGTTTTCCTCGGCACAAGTAGACTACGTACGATACTGGTTGCATGCCATGGGACTTACCAAGCATACTATTTCCCTGCCATACTCCGACTGTCTTTTGACCGAGTCTAGTCTACACACTGTTTCTCCGGTCGTTTACTCAGATGGTTCTGCTGTGCGGGCGGCGATCAAGGTCAGTGCATCTTCATTCGAGTGGCTTTCATTAACCCTGTGCTCCATCTCCCTGTAGACTATTGACAAAAATAACAAACGCTTAAAGGGATCAAATCCGAAGCTTACTCACCGTCGACATGTTTTCGAACGTGTGCGTAGTCTTTGGGCAGAAAAGAAGGGCGTTTGGTGTGCCATTGACTTTGAGGCATGGGAACGTGACCACACAGTCCTCACAGAAGTTGGCTGGAGCTTCTCGGGTTGGAAGGATGGCATACAAGTTGAAGGACGTGAGCATTTGATCGTTGAAGAGGCAAAAAAATTCACAAACTCGCAATATGTTCCTGACCACCGCTACGTAAGTATTTCCTCCCTTTGCGGGTTGGTTGGTTCTCGATCTTGTATTCGTAGGACTATCAATTCGGCTCAAGTACAAATGTCAAAAAAGTAGAGTTCAAGAAACAAATCGGCGACCTTCTGTCTTCTTTAACGCAATATGGACCAGTCTTCCTCGTCTTCCACGACGACAAACAGGATATTAAGTGACCTTCTACCTACATTGCCGCTTTAAGACTAGGGTTGACATACTCAAAGATATTTGCAGTCAGCAAGCGTTAATGCCCCACTGGTGGGGTTGTCGTACACCTTACCTGATGGCATGCCCGACGGCGGCTTGTTTGTGATCGACACCGCAGATTTGATAGGTGCCCTTCTCGGAGATGCGTCAGGCAACACGAGGGGACTGGAGAAAATGTGCAACCTGCTTCAGATTAAAACAAGCTATCTTCACAATGCTGGAAATGATGCTCAAGTTTGTTCATCTCTCTCTCCTGCAATGTAGCCTGAATGTTTAATTTGCTGTAGTTCACGATGATGGCACTGAAAGATATGGCTAATGGTGACCCCATCGATATACAACGAGAAAAACGTTGGCCAAATCAGACTAGCAGTGGAGTGACAGTTGAACTCCAGCCATGGCAAGAAGACAGTGACTACTCTGATGAAGAAGGTGTGGTTCCCCCGATAGCTGGGTATGACCTCGAGACAGGTGAACTTAATAACTAAGATCGTGATATCTAACATCTGCTCTTGAACATGTAAATCTGGATTGAACAAGTTCTTGTGATTGTCTTTTAGTCTTCCTTCTTGGCCTCAGCCCCCTCCTCATCCTCATCATCAGACCGATCATCATCTACTTCGCTGATAACAATTGCCCTAGAACGTACTCTGAGAAAATTATAACGCGGGCTATATTGTTAAGTGCTGACCTGACCAATATCTTCATTATCAGATAATACCAGAAGAGATTGAGAATTTGTAAGACAAAAATTGATATGAAGATGATTGCTGGCATCCAAGATACCATATAAACACCTTGCGACCAACTCCATTGCTTGGCAAATTCTCTGGGTAGAAATGTTAACAATAATCTGAGTCGGAGAGGGGTTGATCTGCATACGGGACGAGATGTGTCTCGAATAGTGCGGACCAGAGCATTATAATGTTTAAATAATGGCGGAAGTATCTACAAAATGAGGTGAGAGGACCAGATGATTGCAAACGAAGAACTTACGTCCAAATTCCAACGAAAATGACAAATGAAATGACTTTGGCCCGCTCCCATTGGATGTAATTCAAAAGTTTGGAAAACTGTAATGCGATGAAGAAGACGTTGTAACCGAAAGGAAATAACGCACCGCTAAAAATGTATCTGGGATATCCATGCTCATATACACCGCATTTCCAATGTATGTCATGTTGAAAAGATAGCTCCATCTGAGGTGAGGTGAGTTCCGCTCAAATAGAATTACAAGATTGACACCGACCCAACCAACCACAAGGTGACAAAGTGGTGGGCGACAAGTTCCGAATAGTCCTTACGTGGCTTCTCCAGTCCAAGCAACAAAACCAAGAGCTGCTGGCACCAGTAAGAGAATTGCATGAGATAGTAACGCTTCAAGTTCAGGTTTAAATTCCAATGTGGATAGTCTGTAGGTGCACAATCAAACCGGCAAAAAATGGATTGTGAACGTGCTAACCAATCCAAAAATACTCCGTGCGATACCAATAGGTTGGTAGGTGTGTCATTACTGACTGTCATGGAATTAACATATGTGGGAGCGCTAAATTGCCCAACCGATTCATACTTACATAACCCCAAGTTCCAAAAACCGCGAAATAAACCATTGCGTATGCCTGTTCGCCAAATCTGTCAATCTTAGCTTCACGTTTCAGACCAAAGTATTTGGCAATAGGTCTAGACACGTTGATGGTTATGAACTGCCGGACACCAGAAAAGAAGATAATGTGGTAGGCCAGGAAGAGTATATCATAATAAGATTTCGCGTAGCGGTGATCGCCTGGATCGGAGGTATCGACGTGACCAGATATCTGGAAAAAGGGAGCAAAGGGGTTTTTGAAACCTGGGGAAAGATAGGGCGCGAGAAGTTCCCAATTGGCATAGAGCACAAGAGGGAGTGTTAGAAGCTTCAGGGCGTCAACTGTCCAAAGATGCAAGACTCAGTGTATGGTGACGAAGGATGAAAGGAGCGTACCGGGGCTGACCGCCCAGCGCAACCAAGGAGAAACATTGTGGTATCTGGGGAGGCGTTTATTATTCAACGCAGGGGAAGCACTGCGATCGGGTGTGTGGACACCAAAAGGCCTGGAATATAATGTTAGGGTACATAGAGTCATTGACGACAAGTCCTACGTTTGGGGGAGAAAAGGGCCTGCAAGGTGGTGCGTTGGATCATCCCTGGTGTCCTATGAGTTTTTGTCAAGGCGGTCAACAACGAAACCCACTGGATGCGATCTGTGATTATTTGAAGCGACCCCGCGCCCTTTCTGGTGTTGACGTTGTTCGAATGCATGCAAGCACGGAAGACAGCTGGAGACGACTGGGAATGACAACAGCGTCGGCGCCAAAACGAAAATTCAACCGACACGACCCTTGTTGCTTCGTCATTAAACTTTATTCACGGGCACATCGTCACCGTCAGTGCCAAGCTCTCTTCGTCCCAAAATGTTCTCCCCCTTGGGCCTGTTTCGATCCTTAGTCTGTCCTGAGAAGGATAAATGCACGCGCGTTCCTTGTATTTTCTCTCATCGTGATGACCTTCCACCACCACATGCTCTGGACCTCACCATTCACCTTCCGGAAGTTCCAACGCAAGCACGGCCGTGTATAGCTCCAACAACTCATCAACCACAACCGCAACAGCGTCTTTCGCTCACTCCTGCAAAGCGTCCGCTTCCTCACACTCCACTCGGAAATGATTCCACTGTGGCGGCAGAGCCTCCTCGAAAGCTGCAGAAAGTTGGTTCCGCACAGCGTCCTCTTGCGATACCCTCTGCGTCTCATACTGAGGTGAGGTGATTTGCACGTTCAAAACGAACATCACGAATGATTGTCGAAGACTGGAGTACCTATTCTCAGAGTTCTTCCTGCGCAATCGCTGGTTCCGATTCCCATTCGGCAGGCAAGCCTTTCCCCTCGTTCTTTTTATAGTCTCATCTGTCTAATATTTAGCGCACAGACGATGCTGAAGACCTTATACGATCACTTTGTCATCCTCTACAAACCAATTGCTCCTAAAAATCCTGCCCTTGCCTCAGAACATGCCCTCAGGCAAGAAGAAGAAGTCTATAAGAAGTCCAACAAGATGTCTTATCGTAATGTAGGACTTGATCAAGATACCAATTGCTCTGACCATGATGCAGTTTTTTCCAGGCCGTCATAAACTGTGTTGCTGCATTGAAGCGACGACGACCACCAGATTCAGTTTCTCATACTTCCGTTGGCACGGAAGATGACATTTTCGCCCGTGCAGAGGCTCAGAAATTGTTGGTGTCGCTCCGTGTATCTCGCCTCAAAATAGAACAGCTCGTTCACTCGATAGCGGAACTAGAAAAATGGGGATATATTGTAAATCCCCCTTCAGGCCCAGGAGGTGACCAACCTAGTCTCGAGGGCAAGGTTTCCAAATGTGAACGCTGCGCTCAGCCTTTTCAAGTGAAGCGTATGGAGAAAGCAGACCAGTGTGTTTATCATTGGGGTAAACCTTATACCAGCCGTGTAAATGGTAGGCTTCATGTTTTTCCCTTGTGTGTCAGTGCAATTGAATCGGTGCAGGAGAGAAGACACGCATCTATACCTGCTGTTCGCGCCCTGTTTCGGACTCAGAGGGATGTGCTCATGGGCCACACGTCTTCTACGAATCCAAGGCGGAGGACCTACACGCCCGACATCCTTTCTCATCTTTGCGTCCCCCCGGCTCAACTGAGGTGTTAGATGTAGTTGCGATGGACTGTGAAATGATATACACTACCGGAGGAATGCGTGTTGCTCGAGTCTCCGCGGTTGATGGATCTGGTGTCCAGGTTTTTGATCAACTCGTTCGAATGGATGAAGGTGTGCAAGTTATGTACGTGGACTTTGACTGCTTGTTTGACCCAAACATTAATTGTGCATGACAAGCGATTATAACACTCGTTTTTCGGGCATCACGGAGGAGAGCTACAAGGGTGCGATCCTTTCCCTGGCGAAGATTAGAGAATCGTTGAATTCACTGATCGATACCGACACCATTCTCATCGGCCACGCCCTTGACAACGATTTAAAAACGCTTCGCATCATTCACCACAAATGTGTGGATACGGCTTTACTCTTCCCTCACCGCGCGGGCCCTCCATATCGGAGGTCGCTGAAGGACTTGTAAGAGTTTTACCCCTGTTGCAGACATATACTGATCATTTCACCAGAGTTCGAGAAAAGCTGGGGAAAATGATTCAGACGGGCGATGCGTCAGTCGGGCACTCTTCACTTGAAGATGCCAGCTCGACTCTCGATCTCGTGCGGTGGTATATACTCAATGAACAGAATCCTACAGCACGGATAACTGACTGAATATAATTGCCTAGTACCATTGGAGAGGGGGATGGGTAGCGTACTGTACATTCCTTATGTCCGACTACCACGAATGGATCAAAAGAGCATCACAGCTGCAACTTGCGAAGATTCAGTGACCTCAAGAATAATTCCGTCATATCCATGCACTAAACAGCTCAGCGAAGTTTCGAGGTAAATTGAATATACGACATACAACGAGTTGTTGGGCTTGGTAAAGTCAAGTCATCCTCTTCGTCCGTTCTGTCCAATAGCATGGACGGAGGAGGCTCTCTCGGGCTAAGAAAATGGCTAATCGTTTCAAACTATGAATCAAGAGAACGAAGTTAGACGGAGGTGAGATAACAGGCAGTAGCGGATGTTATACTCTGTCGTAAAAACGTTTCCGAGGAGGTGTATCTACAGTCAAATCAATTGAAAAAATTGGTGCAGTGGAAGGCTACTTTTACTCACCATCTTCATCATCCTCTGGCTTGCCTTCTATTTCCCAGTTGCAACGCTTATATCGTTGGAACATTGGCGACCCAGGCTGGAAGTCATATTAGTTGTATGTGGTTTGTTACGGAAAACAACTTGCCAGATTTGTATGGAGAATTATTTTTATTACTGTATGAGAGGTCCCGGAAAGAAGGAAATCCATTCCGTGTTGAAAATAGTTATAGAAATCTGGAAAGGATCGATCGTGCCTTCTGGTCAAAGAAAACCAGTCACGTACACCCGTTGCCCATTTCTGGTCTCCGAATTGAATGAATTGTCATTCTTTCGTCATCCTTATAGTGGACTCGAAGTGGGGGGCCAAGGTCATTGGTCAGATCTTCTGCTGTCGTTTCCCCTAATCGAATATGCAACAACTTTGATGGTGCCGTTCCGTAAAAGTGTATGGTGATACCGTCATGGACCTCGATTTTTGTCACGTAAAAAGGGGCAATGCGTTGGAATGAAGGTTGTAGCTTGCCTTCACGACTACGCTCGCGACGTCTCCTGCCATAGCAGAACACTCCGCCACTTCATCTAAAGCATCCTGACCCTTACCATCATTACCCTTCTGAGATATAAGAATGCGTTTGACCTCTTGCATGCGACCATCGGTAGCACTCCCCTTCAGCCCTTCAGTTATCCCTTCCTCTTCGAAGCTAAACCAGAGTCCAGGGTATCTTAAACCGTTACCAGGGTATGTAGGACCGAATGTTCGACTGACCCCAACCCGTCTCAATACTTCTTCAGTCGACGAGAGAACGGTATCTTTGTAACGAAGGGTCACTGGGGGGTGTGGATCCCGGAGGTTTCTTACACAGATGGTATGAAGCCTCTGGTTTTTACCCGAGAACAATAAATCAAGATGGGGGCGAATGTGAAGGACAATTGGTGTGATGGCCGACGAATCTGGGTCGTATTTTACGTCGACTTGAGGAAATACATGTTGGAGATGACGGAGTCTATCCAGCAGTGTCCAGAGAGATGTTCCTGTTTTATTTACTTGTCTAGATATTCCCCAGAGAAAGGAGAATAATTTACCGATTTCAAAGATACCAAATCCTAATCCTGGCCTTATATCGACATCAAGGGTGGAGTACATTGGATATTGAGAGTCGGTCACGGCGCAGTTCACCACATCTGTCACGCTCCCCTCCTTGCACGAGATGGCAGATACGCGTCAACGGACAATCATCAAGGCATGTCGTCGTATACGCCATTCAATTCAATGTTAATGCGAACGTCTTTTGTAGGTTTTTCGCAAGTTTAGTAATTCTATCGGACCCGACGCCCTTGAACTGCTCAACGAAATTTTGGATCGTCATGAGATCGCCGATGCTGACGTTGAATCAAGTCTCGAAACTCTCGCAAAGGCATACAATAAACAAGATGGTGCCCTAACATTCCTATATACTCTACCTGCTATTTTGCATTAACTTACTGGGCAACTAGACGCTGAGATGAAAGTCTCGGTGGAGGTTCTTCGGAGAGTCTACGATTCCTTCCAAGATGAAAACGAACATGTCGAGAAAGAGTCCATAGATCCCGAAAATCACTTATTCGTTATTAACGCGTTTGAAATGCCACGATGGACGTGGTCACAAGAAAGAGGTACCTTCGAGAGGTACATTTGTGTATATATGACGGTTGCCACAACCTAATGATAATATATATCCAGGTCAGGTGCGCCTCTAACTTCCTCTGGTTCCGCAGAGTCTAGGATAGCATCCATACGCGACAGGCTGAATATCATCAAACAATGCGTCCTAAGAAACGAACATTTTGCTCCATCCACTTTGCCTTCGCGCGACCGCGAGCGGCTGGTCACCGTACGAGCATCTAGTCAAACCAGAAGCACTATCTATTTAATTCTCACTTTCAGCTAAGATCCACCAAACAGCTTCTTGGGCGACCCGGGGAACGTTTTCTGTTACTTGGCATGCTTGCGCACAACAAGGAAGGAAAACTGTGCATCGAGGACGCAGATGGTAGTGTAGAACTCGATTTCTCCAAGCTCGTAAGCTCGAACCCCAGGCCTCATATTCTTCTGGTCAATGTAGTTTGACAGGACGAACCAGGTGATGGCCTCTTTACGGACGGATGTTTCGCACTGGTTGAAGGAGAGTATACGCAGGAAGCTACGCTCGAGATAATTGCTATAGGACAACCTCCTTGTGAGCCCCGAGAGATAGCGAGGTCAATTTATGGCCATATCGACTTCCTTGGCAAAGGTTCAACCTCGTTGCTCGAAGACGTGAGGCGGATCTGTTCCTTGTTCGTCCGCTTTTTACGAATTCACAGTCACAATTTGCAACACGCATCCGCGAAGAGCTCTCCGAACTTCACTTTTTCTTCCTTTCGGATGTCTGGCTTGACCATCCCCAGACGCTCCCCGGTCTCCGGAAAATGTTTGATAATTGCACCGAAAACGACTTCATTCCAGCGGTCATCGTCATGTGTGGCAATTTTACAAGCAAATCTATCTCGCATGGAAACGGGAGGGAGGTGCAACGATATCAAGGTTAGATATGCACTCTGTTTCCAAGCCGGGATTGGGTCTCATTGAGATTATCAGATAATTTTGATGAACTGGCCGATTTAATTGCATCTTACCCATTGATTACGCGAAAAACCCATTTTATACTCGTTCCTGGACCTCTGGACATCACAGTCAACTCAACATTACCTCGTAGGCCTTTATTGGCAGCCCTTGTTGCTCGACTTGAGGCTAAGGTTCATAAAATACATTTCGCGACAAATCCTTGCCGCATCAAATTCTTTGACCAAGAGATTGTGGTTTTCAGGGAAGATCTGATGGCGAGGATGCTGCGAAACGTTGTTGGCGTCAAACCAGACGTCAGAAGCGAGGATTTAAAGAGATTCGTAGGCATGAGCCACCCTTGCCAAAGATGCCGCTGACAGGAGAACCAGCTTGTGCAAACTATTCTAGACCAAAGCCACCTCACCCCCTTGACCATCAATATCCAACCCACCCTTTCGGACTACGATCACAGCCTGCGACTTTATCCTTTGCCAACAGCGGTATGCATCCCACCACTGTTGCAAAGTTTTGATTTTCATCGATTTAAATAGCTCATACTCGCAGACAAATATGAAAGGTACAAGGTGACATACACTGGCTGCCATGTCTTCAACCCAGGCAGTTTTGTCGGTGGCTCTCTCGTCTTCTCGACGTACAAGCCTGCCGAACTGAACTCGGAAGAATGGTACGTGTAAGTACCTGCTAAATTGAACCTCATTGAGATGCCCGTATCAGTATTTTAGATTTGGATTCTGAGGACGGTTGATTTTCAAAGTACTTACTGAATTTCGAGTTTAGAACGACAAGTTCTTGCGTTATGCATGTAAATGTTACAACTACAACAGTCTTATTTGGCGAAGGTTTTCATACAAATGTACAATTTCATCAGTATTGGATCATTTCCATTTGGATGAATTCCAACTGGTCACGGGTCAATTTCAGAACACGCGTGACAAGTCTTGGGCAAGTGCTACCAGCACGACATAACCACTACTGTTCAACGTTCAACGTCCACACACAGCAGTGGTCGACGCCGTATCAGGGTTCATGTTGGGATAAGGCCTCAGGCACATCCCAATTGCCATTTGCAAACAACGCATTCTCGACAGTAAGTCATCATCAACTTGTGTGTCGTTTATATCTTCACTAACCCCTTCCAAATAGTGGCTCCATTTCTCTCCCATCTTTCATTCATCGCTTCTATCGCACTTTTTGTTGTCTTTGGGATCCCGAATAATATATCGTTTAGGCTTGCCTTGTGGTTCCTTAGGCTCACAATCTTCTCACTATGCCTACGCACGTACTTCGGGCCCTGGCTCCTTGCCTCGATGTCTAATCACATCCGGGTACGCAGCATTAGCTTTAGGTCTATACGGGGCCTTTATTTTCGGAGAGGGCGTTGCACATGGCGCGTCGAACGGGTTGGTTATGTCTGGTCTTCCTTCGAAGGCTCCAAACGTCTCGCACTCAAACTCGACGGATTGAGTCTGGAAATAGGGATGGCCGAACCCGAGAAAACAGCTTCCCCGCCACGACGTCACATACGCAACCTTACACTCGCGGATCTCAACCCTTCTCCGCTTGCTCATCGCATGTGGTCTCTCATATCGACAGTCGCCGTTTTCCTGGAGCCATTTTTTCGCCCATTAATCAGAACATACGTGGTGGCATGCCTCCGCATTGGAATTCAACTGCTGCCGATGCTTTCACAGGCCCTTTCTTTCGACCTCCAGTCTGTTGTTCTGACCTTTGCCGCCGTGCCTGAAGCGAAAATCGTGGCTGAGCAGATTTCCATCCACGCGTCAGTCGACTTTACGCAACTCGAACCCGTCCTAGATTTAGTTGAGATGGAGGAGGCACCACGCCCCAGAGATCCTCGAAAAGCAAGCGGGATGTCCATTTGGAAGCGGCGCCTAACAGAGAGTTTCCATCGATCGCTGGATAGGGCATGGGGCATGACAAAGGGAACTGCCGCCATCGCGCTCAAAATTCACAACATATCGGGAACGTCACCAGGCTCTTCTCTTGGTACGTTTGCCCTTTCGGATTCCAATATCACCTAATGTATGTTTTCAGATAATGGAATCATGATCCCATTCCTTCTTTCGACTGGCGTTATCGATCTAAGCGCGAAGTTACAGTTCAGTCCCAGAGCGGGGACGGTTGAGCCCCACAGCTTTGACATGAAACTTGCGACTGGACACTGCTCCGCAAAGGTAGATACCTTGAACGCACTGCTGAAGAAGTTGATTCCAGATTCCACACGAGGCGCACCTGCCAGCACTGTGCCAACTTCAGTGTACCCCTCCTCACCATGTGTGGATACCCCGACTTCGTCATTCCCATTTTCGAGAACCCAACCCTCGCCAAATTTCTCTTCTGCTCTCCCAACATCTTTGACTCCGAATTTCTCGCCAACCTCAACACCACCCCTATCCTCTATGGGCCAGTTGTTTTCTTCGAAACCTCTCACATCACCAATAAAAGCACTATCAGTAAGTGGTTTGCTCGTCTACGTTTATCCATCTAACTTGCCGCCGAGGCTAAAATGCGCCCTCGATCTCGTTATCATACGCAACCTTGCTTTCGGTTAAAGAGTGCAAAAAACTCAGTACGTGGCCTTCATAGTTTGGCGTCCCCATTTCTTAACTCCGGCTAGTCCTTATTATCGATTTTGAAACGGGTCGAGGTTTCCGTTGCTTCAATTGCTTTGTCTGTATCCCCCGACATAGCCACAGGTCCTTACAAAGCTGTCATTCAAGATGCACAAGTAACCATAGATCAAAGTGACCACAATCAACATGATCTACAGCGGCAATTCCTCGGCCGCAACGCAACCTGTGAGAGCTTTGACGCTGAGTCCTACGCTATCAGATTATCGTTGCGTGAAACGACAATTGAAAGGCAAAGGAAGCAGGGTTGTTCCCGCCTCCTGAAGCTAGGTGTTATCGAAGTAAGCACCTTGGTTCATCAATGGCCATCTCCCTGGCTTGTCACTTCCCCGTTCATTCGAGGCGATCCTAACGCGGCGCTACTCGCCATCCAAATGAAGGTCGAGGGCATTGAAGTGGTCGAACAACTGGATCACGTGCGTCAGTTGATTGACGACATTCAGGATCTACAGCTCAAGACACAAGGTGCCCCTCCGCCCTCCCTTCCTGCGCCATTGATGGTTCCACGTATATCGTTTGCAATGGAGTGTGGTCCAATTTTTGGCCGCATAATTTATCAGGTTAGCGACAGTACAAGCTGCAACGCGATGGAAATGAGAACAAGAGGCTTCACTGCCTCCCTTCAATCCAATTATACACACTCCCTTATGCGCCAAACTTTTCCTGGGACATCGGATGTCCCAGTCCGACTGGAATGCAATATTTACTACGGCTTGGAGCCTACTTTTTTTAGAACTCGACTGCAATGGAACTCCGACGGCAAGGCAGGGAATCATTCCCCCCAAGACAAATTCATGGACGACCCCCCGATGTTATCCATTGGAATGGTGGAATTATTTGGCACGATTCAAGGTTTCGCTGAAGTGGATGTCGTCTCAGGAGTCGCCATTGTTGATCGAACATCGCTTATTTCGGATCTTCATCTTTCGATTGAAACTATCTGCATTGAATTCTGGCACCAAGTGGTCGTTGATTCCTTTCACCATCTCCTATCAATCCTGCCGGAGAAGGCGCCATCAACTGTCACAGCTTCCCCGACGAAATTCAATCGACTTCCTGTGGGATTGGCGGCCAAGGTGGCTGTATCTCGTCTAGTAGTGTTTGTCACTGCACCAGACATTAATCCTGGTGATAAGTCGGAGCTCTCGCGTGGCTTGGCACTCCGAGCTGGGGTTGGAGTGGAATATTGCTCTCTACACACCTCTCACGATTATTGGTTTGAGGATCATCGCCGCACGCAAACAAGAACACAGCTGTCTCTGCCAGCAGAACCGACTGTTGATGCCATCACTGCGGCCAGAGCGTCAGGCTCATCGCAAGACGTATCGGCTTTCATCAAGATACGCACTTCAGACCTGATCTTAAAGAGTGCTATTGCCACGCAATTTGAACCCGACGAACCGGCAATTGCTGGCCGAGAGGATGTTATTAAAAGCCCCCATGAATTCTTGTGTGTTGGAGCTGTACAAACAGACGTCTGTCTGTCTTACAAAGATTCATCCTCTTCATCTCAGGCAACCGATACCTGCAACGTTTCCATTCACATTCCTGATATACGCGCAGATTTTCAGCTGGTTCATATCTACAGTGTCCTTCTTGCTCTTCAGACGCTGCGGTCCCTGTCTCCTCCTCTGCCACCCCGTCATACTAACGAAATTCCCCTCAATCCTTCCTACCACAAAGTGCAATTTATGATCCAGACGAATATAACAGTAGTTCAAGTATTATGGGCCCTTCCCCAGAAGATTATGGTCACTCGTATCGATGGACTTACCGCCCACTTGGCTTCGGATGGGCCGCCTCGGCTTCGGATGCACAAAGCCGTCGCTCTTGTACCACTGCCTTCACAAGCCAATAGATGGGAAGATATTAGCACGACTCGTAAGTGGGGGGAACTCATCGATTTGCATGTCTGGGAGATATGTTTTTCTCCTCATGCTGGCTCCCTCTCCGCTGCCATTGAGGGGGAGAGCCTCCGCCTTCGAATTCCTCCAGGATTTGTTGTAGCTGATTTGATTTATGACGCCATTGTCACCGTCAAGGCGTTGCGTCATATAGCCCACATGGCGACTGTAGGCTGTTATTCAGACATGCCACCTCCCGAACCGGAAGGCCCTAAAATTGTTCCCCATCTTACCTTCCGCCTTAACTATGTTTGCCTGGAAGCACTTGACGATCCCTTTGAAAGTAAATTGAGCCTAATTTGGCAGGCAGGCGCAGAGGCAGTCAGGCAACGAGTGGACCGTGAAGAAGCGTTTTTAGCGAAAGTGGCTGCCATCCAAGCCGCCGAACCTGGCATGTCCCCCGAACCCCTGGTATCTAAGATTGAACATGATTACCAGTTTGGGGCCAAGCATTCAATCTCTATTCAGGAAGCCCGTAAGCGGCTTGATGATGTTCATGCCCTCGATTGGACTCTTAGATTGGAGAAGCTACGAGAGCGACGGTCGAAAGAAGAGGGTTCCGTTCTCCATAAGGTCTATGGGACATACCCTTCCCTTTCATCAACTCCAATTCCTGATCTCGTGAGTCCTGAACCCCTGATAGCCGCGCCACCGTTGCTTCGGGTCGCCCTTCACAATTTGTCTCTCACTGTTTCCCCCCCTTCATTCCCTACTAAACGCCTTGCCGATTTTCTGCACGATCAAGGGGGTGGTGTCCCCAAAAATACGCTTTTTTCGTTGCTAATTCCGATGCACATTCACTTTACATTGTCAAGTCTGCAAATTACCCTCAGAGACCATCCCCTTCCTTTGGTTCACATTCCTTCTCACAGTGATCCAGGTACAACTTCCTGGACCTTCGATTCTGATCTGGTTGTTGGAGAAGAAATGGGTACCTCAAAGTCGGTTGACTGGGTTACTTGTCCGATTATTGAAAAAGACCACGCACTCCACGGAGAAGCGCCACTCTCGATCAAAGTCCCAAAGACGATCATGCCCATCAAGACCTACGCAAATCCCGTTGTTAAAGTGAATACCTCGGCTACAACTGTTCTTTCTTGGGGGGTGAGCTACGGTCCAGTAATTCAAGATGTTATGCGAATCGTAGAAACTTTGACTACACCACAACGAGATTCGTCGCCACCAATAGGGTTTTGGGATAAAGTCAGTTGTCAAACAACCACAAATCCCACTTTTTGAATTCCTTTTTAGATGCGCCTCGTTTTTCATTGGAGCATCAAGGTAACATTCGCTAGCGATGTCCAATTATATCTCAAAGGTATTAGCAATGATTTTCGAGTGTTTTTTCGCCGTTTGTAAACATTGCACAGGCTCTCGAGATCCACACAGCACCAATGATGTCGGAGCTGGATTTGTACTGTCCTGGCAGGGAAATCCAGAAATACATATCGCTCACCCGAATGAACAACGAGAGCTCATACAAGTGATGAGTGATGTGATGCTCATTGCCGTGCCCGAGTAATTTTTCTTTGCTGTCCTTCCTTTGGTATTTCAACTTACATGTCGGTAGCTTTGAGCACATATCTCCAAGTGTTCACACCCCACATCACCACCGAGCTTGGGAGCGTACGAAACGGTTTCAAAAGGTCTGTGCACAGCTTAGCTCAGGCGTACGTTACGGGATCGGTTTCGTGCCCGAAAGGTCATGCGGGCCTGAATGCACGAAATGCCGTGGAACACCTTTTCATCGTAATTGCCGACATTTCAATTTCCGTCCACATTTTGAAGTCAAGCTGGAAAGGAAGATAGGCACACCTATTGAAAAGGTCAGTGAAATAATACTCTATCGTTAAAATGATCGTCGAACTCACAAGCACGGTAGGGACCAGAGGACTCCTTCAATGGATTTCGATCAGACTTCGTGCATCTATCGGTCTCTTTGGCCTCGTCGATCAAACCTTCCCAGCTAGAATCTTCCAGGGAGTTCAGTAGTCTTCATCTCACGCCAAAAATTTTCGCCCACTTCTGGTCATGGTGGGCTTTATTCGATGGCGTGCTTTCACTCCCAGTACGCCAAGGTACATATCATCCAACACGACCGATCTCACCGAAACTCAGTCGACATATTGCCACAATTAAGTATCGAATATCAGTTCCTCGCCTCTACTTTATGCATGGTTACATGGACAATTCACGAGAAAGTAAGTTGGGTCTCCTCATAGACACGCAGATCACGTGGCTGACTTCGTGTCAGCTTGGGTTGACGGCGTTACAAGTTGGGTGGGTGTGAAAGGTATGGTAGATGAAATCCAAGCAGACATGCATCAGCGCGAAGAAGAATTGATTGTTCCTGGTGCTGTCCCGAACACAACCAAAGTTCTACGGCGAAAACCCTTCTATGCAGCGCAAGTGCTAATGAGAGGACTCGACTTACGGACACTGTTAGCAACCTTTGTTGATCCAATGAAACAAGAGGTTTTGATGACTGCTCCCTCCCAACGAAGCAATTATCGCAAACACACTGAACTGCCGCTGACGCCTTCAAGCTCTTGGTGGTATGATCTCAAGGATTTCGTCGAACTTGATTGGGACGCACCGACAGCCCCAACCTTGCACCTCCTTCCTCTCGCGACGTGTCCACGTTTCACATATTTTAAACAGAAGTCTGCTGGTGTCAATGACACGGAATCAAGTAAATTTGGTTCGGAGAAGTCCCATGGGTGTTTTCTTGGAGAAGAACCTTGTAACTCCGTCGCTGCTTCAATGGCCTTTGAAACTCACGCAATATTCCAGCTGTTTCTCAAACCCAAATGTCTCTTGCACTCGCACGCGCTCAAGAACTGAGACAAACAGTAGAGACAGAACATACCTTGCAAAAGAAGGGAAGAAAAGGGGTACGTAACACCACATATCACAAAATGATATTCTGAATCACACAGCTTCTTAACGTTGCGGCCACGGAAAAGATGATCATCCTGCTGGAAAAATATGCCAAGGCTCTGCGAGATAGCGAGTCTGGCTCTAATGATCCCAGCGCTCAAAGTTACTGCATGGTGTCTGAAATTGTTTCTCCTGCTGAATGGGCTGAGTTCGAGAACGTCTATCAAATACATTGCCCGAGTATCCTCATGGATGACGCGATCCGTGATGTTGGCCTCCCTTTCTTCTTTCGCATGATAGAGCCTGAAATTTGATCTAGATAATGATGCAATACTACTACTGCTCCAGGGCGAGAAGGGGTATAGAATACCATATGTCTACACGGTAATCCCTCATCGGTCCGAAATTTGCTCAAGACTCACATCACCCTAGAGCTGTCAAGTTTATTCGTGATCAAGCCAACGCTGCACTGGCTGTTGCGCGAGAAGAGGTGAATCAAGATCGTGTCAACATAAGTGCAGCGCAGGTCGCAGCGTCGGCATTGCTCAAGCTTCTGAAGGGAGACAGCACGAAGTCTTCCATTGATTTGATGCGAGAAAAAAATTATGTCCATCCTAGCCAGCCAGATCCATTGGAGGGATGGGATGAAGGCGTTTCCCTGCGCAAAAGCCACTGTTGTCTGTTGCTCAAACCACAGATTGTTTTGCGAGGAGAAAGCACGAAAGACACTTGCGTCGTTGCAGCAGCTCAAGCGAAACTGCAATCATTCGCTATCATGGACGTCTCTAATTTGGATGATCCTGTGAGCGGGAAGGTGATGTCACGGTATCACAATACATTTTCTCTCTTCAACCGCTCTCTCATTATCATCACATAGCAACTACACTACACTTTCGGGCCTACAATCATTCTCACCGACCCACACGGAATTGGGCAGTGCCATTGTCCCTCTTGAAGTGTTGATAGATCTTCGATGCGAGAGCAGTCGCTTCGAGCGAATCGTACCGCAAACCGATGCGACCTTCCATTACGACAAGTTCAACAGGTTGCGTTTGCGCAATCAAGTTACATCGATTGCCACCAGGGTATCGACAGAGAGTACAGCCACCGCCAACAACCACTTACAAGCTCAAACAGTCAGTTTTGTTTTTTCACCTGAGTTGGAGGTACACTGTCTGAGTTGCTGTAGGACCTCATCCGTGTTCACATTCCACGGTTTACTGTAACGGCAAACGAAGAGCACTTTCAGGCCATCTCAAATATTCTGACTAAACTTCTTCTCTTTTCCGATGCAGCTCACAAGACAAGAACAGAAAAATTAGAAACTTTGATCTTTACATACGACTTTACGGATCTTGTTACTGCTGCCAATGTGGTGACCAGTTTGCAATGCCGCCTCCGGGATGCACTGGAGACAGATCGAATGACCGCCAGGAACTCTCGACGACTTGGTGGTAACGATACGAAACTGAGTTTGTTGAAGCTCAGGGCTCATATTTTTCACCTCGCCGAAGAACTTAACCTGTTATTCGATGCCATTAAACTCGCTCAAGACCGATTCAATGATCAATCTGAACAAAATTCAGCTCTCCTGCTACACACATCTTCTTCGGAGATATCATGGAAAATGCTAGACGAGCGAAGGAATCTTCTGTCCAAGCTTGTCGTCCAAAACATTGATTTTCGCTGGCTCAGTAGGCAAGATAGCTCGACTGTCAATCACTTGGCTGTTGGTAACTTGACAGCATTCGATGGTTCTCGGTACGCTATCTGGGCTGAGATATTATCGAAGCACGACGAACCAGCAAATCACCCCTTGCTGAAGGTAATATTATTTTTACCAGATGATGTATTGCTTACCCTAATTTTAGAGAGGATTATTCCTTCTAGCCGACTGGACGGTTCTCGCTCCAGTAGGTGGGATCACGATATATGAATCATTTGAACTCTCCTTCCATCCTTTGCGGCTCCAAATTGATGCGAAAGTTGGGCGAAGAATCATGGAATATCTTTGGCCCGACCGAAAACAACGAATTATGGAGGTTGAAGGCGCGGGGTCGCAATCACCATTTCCACAGATACAAGTAGCCCAGAGCCCTGTCAGCCCTGTCCCTTCAAGATCTTCTCTCGATTCGCCGAGGGCACTGCATAACTTCCGAAATGCCGAAGATTCGAATGGAAATAACTTAGTTCTTCCTTTGCGCAGACTTGGGACATCTAGATCGTTCACTGATCTCCGATCAACAAGAGACTACACTTTTCTCTTTCAGAGAAATCAATCTTCGGATTCGATTGATAACGTTCCTAGCGCACCATTTCTTGGCCCGCCATTCCTGACGACGAGCAACGAGTCGGATGCAGACGTTATAATCCGAAAAGCTGGGGATGCTGCTGAAATGAAAACGCGTTCGTCGCAAAAAAGCTTTGTCCTCGTCCGAGTTTCAAGGCAGGTCGGGCCTCTCCATCTCTATTCCGTTGCTGAGTTTTGTTTTTTCTCAGTCTCAACCTTCTGCTAAGCATTGTAAAGGAAGGATCCTTCGAGTGCCATGACGCCCGTATCCGAACTCGAGAACTCGAGTATCGCAACCAAACATGGAGTGTGAGTTACCAGGCAACTTGATCCTAATTTTTGTTTACTTTGCGATCAGTTTGAAGAATTGGTGAATCAATTCATACCATCGAACTTGAGCTGGAGGGGTTGGGTCAAGATGGCGTTCCACCAACCTTTGCTTCCAGTGTTGCCTGTGGCCAAAGAACTGATTTCTAAAACGAAATGGACGAAAGGTGGAAGTCAGGCCCATGAAAACCTCCAGAGATTACTTCACTCGGATGAGGACCCTCAGCTTGATTGGATGGAAGAAAAGAAAAGAACATTGCCTTTAGTGCCAAATCGTGGATGGAGAAACGGCATGTGGTCCAAAACCGACCTTGCGCCTGATGTTGCGCCAGCTTTGAGCACAGAAGCAGAGGCTTTACCAAAAGCGGAGGGCTCGACGGGGCGTAAGCGAGTTATGAGCTTGTTTAGAAGAGGAACGAAAAGCGGATCAAAGGAGGGGATGGATGGTGGATGATATGTTATAATTCTATTTATAGATTGATATTTATGTTGTTGTTTAGTATTTATGTTGCTGAGTTACTCTGATGCCCTCTATAAGAATCAAGAGCTCATTTTATTCTGCTCTTCGTGATTCAAATGATGAACTTGTTCCTCCCATTCACACAGAACTTGTTCCTCCCATTCACACACAGACCTCCTTACCTGATCTGCGACTTCACAATGCCGAGCCTTGCGATCCCACCAATTCCCGTTCCTCGCCCCTTTCCCCAATGAATCTTCACCTAACCACACTGAGGCCCCGCGCTTACACAGCTTCAAGCAGAGTCCATGCGCATTGCATGAGGAATTCATTGAGAAATTCACGCCCAGGAATCCCAGGAGAACAAATAACACGTCCAAACTCGCGCATTGAAGTTGTCCACGTTGACAACCCACCGTCACGCCTATCTGACGGAGCGCGTACGCTGGAAGGTCTTCAAGCCGATGTCATAATGGATCGGTCTTCTGGGGAACCCGGCAGGATTCAAAGTTCCCTCAGCTTGCCTTATCCTCAACTTGAAGGTCAAGAAGTGCGAATCGTGGATGTTCATCATCACGACGATATAGTGGAACATTTAGACGTCATCGACTCGCAAATTGGGGCTGTATCTAGTTTAACTAATGCTGCAAACTCAATTATTATGTGCGTTAACCCATACTTATCACGCTCCACTTTTTGTTCTTAGTCCCCTCCAGCCCCCCCTCTTCCTTTTACTCAAGAAAACCTGTTATTGTGTTACCTTCGATACCCTTCAGCGACAGAGAAGAGTCTGGCCGATTCGAGGACTCTTTGGATCGGCATGTTGATGACGTTCTCAGGAGGCCGACAAAGCTTCGGCGCACCCTCATGGGTGTGTGGTCCTTTTTGAAAACACGTAAAATAAATCCCTCGAAGTCTCTTGCGAAACGCTAACGTTACTGCTTAACAGCGATGGGAGTACGTTATGTTACACTGTGCTTCGTCGCCAGCTCATTCTGTCCTAGATCATCACTGGAATCTACGGTTTTTTAGTCGGTAAGTCTTGCAATTACGTCGGAGGATGTTATGCCGATGTATAGCTTATCAGTGTTTTGGGGGGCGGCTATTGTTATATTCCTCGTCAAGATCATAAACTTTCACAACGCAAACACCCAGGGATTCTGGGTAGAGGTCTCTTCGCAAGTTGAGACTGGTTGGTATCTTCGCCCTCCACTTCAATTCACTCCCACCTCCTAACGAGACTTTTGTAAAGGTCTTTTCACCGTCACCAGCATTGGACTGATTCCCTTTCGAGTTTTGGACACATATCGTTAGTACCCTTCCACCTATAATATATCTTTGATTACGTTGTATTCGGCAGGAATATGGAAGATATGGCGACATAAACGGAACACCATACGTCTGAGAGAACAAGCTGGTCTCCCACAGCTGTTTGACGTGGACGATCTTCCTGATCCGATGTATGACCCCAATTACGTCCACGTTCTTACAGAGCAAGAACAACGAGATTTGCATGATCGTAAGCTCTTTTTAAGTGATGCGTGCCTTGAATCAATCTCATCTGCAGAACAATCAAAATTTCAGCACTCACAAACTTGGTACCGAGCCCATGGGACAGAGACGCACCGTGTCAGCAAATTCTAATTGTATTATGTCGTCACTCTGACACTTTATATAGGCATTTCCAATCAAGTACGCCCCTTCACTCTGGCCGAATATTCAGTAATTTATGCCATCACTAGCATAGCACTGCTCATCTGTTTTCTGAATGACGGAAACTCTCTCTTTCAGGTTAGTCATTCAATCTTGCAGGCGGCATCGTTTTCACGCATGCTTAGATCTTTCTTTGTGGGACTATGTGGGGTTTGAATCGGTGCCTTTTTTCCCTGGGTAAAAGACATCTACAACATTAATCATAGTTCATACAGCTTTCAACGACCTGCATGGAGTACCGGGATTCTGATTCCAGCCAGTTTTCTTTGTGGAATTGGGGCTGCAGTGCTCATTTGGAGGGGAGGGGAAAAGACGAAACGAGTAGAGGAGGTCAGGCGAAGGCTTCGGTCCGCCCTCGCTTCAGAAAATATTCCAGACGACCCCATCTCTGGGCTCGGCGCAACGATAGATCGTAATCATACCTCTATACCAAAGATCAACATATCGCAGAATTGGGAGGTACCTCCCGACGACTCCTCCATGATCGAGGAACACATGACGATTCGCCGTTGACGGAAACAACGACAACGATACCTTTTATTCTTATACCTGCGCCCATCTGCTTGTTTATTCAGATGCTTATACCAGCTGGTTTTCGTGTTTTCGGAATTATCTTCATTCACTCATACTAAACGTCTTAAGTACGCCGCCCAGCCTTCGGCCATATATCTTTCAGCACGAGCGACAATAGCAGCTGTGGCCTTGAGATCGGTGCCATACACGCCACGGCCAACAATGATCACATCACAACCAGAATCCAAAATGACTTCCTCTGGTGTCCTGTATTGCTGGCCCATTGCGTCGCCTTTTGAGTCAAGCCCCACCCCGGGCGTCAAGACAAGGAAATCCTCGTCAGTGACATCCTCGTCTGGGGCTGCACCGATCCCGTCCATCCGATGTTGGGCGATGAAGCCGACAACAAAATCTCGATTTAAACGGGCCATCCGTACCGCATCTTCTGTGTATGTCCCAGTTGCAAGGGACCCTTTGGTACTCATTTCGGCTAGCAAAAGTAAGCCTCGACCAACGGGCAGACCAACTGACGCGAGTCCCTTGATGATTGAGGGACCGGGGACTGGATGTGCATTGGTGAGATGGGACCATCTAGCGATCTTGTAGACACCGCTTGAGTACTGGTGTGCGACGGTATTTCCTGTTACCGTGTCAGATGCATTTTCGGTGACACACTGTCGGAAACAAACCTATATCCGCGAATTTTCTATCCTCAAAAATGAGGAAATCATGCTTGAGGCTTAGATTTTCTAGTCTTTCAATAAGGGAATATTCGAAGTCTTCAAGGATATCGATATGTGTCTTTAAAATAGGAAATTTGGTGAGAATTCGTGATTACCGCCAACGAAAAGAGACGGAGAATGCCTTGATAAGACAGACAAATGGGCCGACGGCGTCGACGATTGTCAAGAAATCGGCAGATGTGGTGACGTCGACACTGACGGCGAGATTAGTTTTTTTCCGCTCCATTGTCTCTAGCAAAAGAATAGCTGCGGGGTTTGTCTGTTTAAGAGCCCTTTGTCCATAGGATTTCAGATGCGCTGAAGGAGCCATCGTCGATGTAGGTAGGATGCCAAGATAAGATTGGGGAGATAAGATATAGTTTTGTTTGTCGACCGCGTTTTTATTTGGTTCTCGTAATGTCGGCTCTCATCATCCACGAACGAGAACAGGACGATGCAGACATCGAAAGATACTCGAAGCGCTCAAAGCTCGATGTCTCTGATCAAGATTCCAGCATGGACGTCGACAACAAAGCTGCTATCATCGAGCCAGATACTGAGCACGTCCTTCCTCCTAGTCACGCTCTCTTGGGGATCCCCCTGCCTGTTGCGGAAGAAGGAGCAGCCATGAATTTTTTAGAATCCAACGTTGGAATTTCAGAATACATTGGACACGGCACGTCGAAAGTTGAAGGGATCATAAAACAACGGTACTCAATTACCTCCACCAAGCGTCCCAGCTTACTGAACCACTGAATGCAGGTTTACTGATTTTTTGGTATACGAGGTCGACTTGGATGGAAAAACTCTACGTATCAAATCACTTGACAAGCCTGAATCACCTAACAAGTCCGACCCTCCCGGAGAGCCGTCGGCGACTACAGACCCATCATCCAAGGGTGAAGAGGCAAGGCTTGAAGAGAGCGAAACAAAGGAAAACTCAATCGTTTCGTCGTCGTCGGGACAAAATAATCGTAAGGATGACGGGGACAAGGGGTCAAACGAGCCATGGCCGGAGCACTTTACCACCGAACTTTCAACCTTTCTCTCCGAAGGAGCCATTCTTCAGATCAAACAGATGTACCTGGAAGGCCCCGAGCCTCCCAGGGTCAGTGACAGTGGGTGGGGAGGTCGTGCAAACAAATCCTCGGAGGGTATAGAAGTCGGCAATGCCGAGGAGGCTTCTGACGCAGTGATGGCAAGTAATCAAGATGGCAAGAAGGACAAAGGGAAAAATAATCGTGGTGGGCGAGGTAGACGTGGTGGTAGGGCAGGCGGTAGAGGTGGAGGGCGGGAAGACCACCGAAAAGTACTATCCGAAGTATGGTCTCCTAGTCCATTGTTAATTCTTTTCTCACTTTATCCCTTCATCCAGCCTATCACGTCAAAAGTAACGCGAACTGCTCTTCACAAAGCTATTCGAGAACTTTTCCTTGGCAAACTTGACAGCGAGACAGATTCCACGGGGCCTCCATCCGATGAAGGCTCGCGAATTGTCATAAAATGGGGTAGAAAGGGCAGTGGTCGAGGAGGGAATGGAAGGGGTGTCGAACCTGGTAACGCAGATCAGTCGGATGCTGTTGTGGCCCAAAAATTTACCCTCATATTGCAGGTAAAGGTCGTACACCTCGAGGTGTTTACCCTCCATACATTCATTTCACCCTTCAAAAAACAAATCGCGACACCCAGGATGCCCTGGGTCATCTTTCTCGCCTTTTGCACGTCAGCATCAAGGATTTGTCGGTCGCAGGAACGAAAGACAAACGTGGCGTTACTGTTCAACGAGTTTCACTCAAGCGCAACAACAAAACAGTTGAAGATGTTTGGAGACTTGCAAATGGAATCGATAATCGAAAACCTGCACAAGAAGTTTTAACCAAACGAGGGGATCGAGGTGTGAGAATAGCCGATTTAAATTATCGTAAGGCTAGCTTAGAGTTGGGAATGCTGAAAGGAAATGCATTTGTCATTACCTTACGGTGCGTTGATATCCCTGACCGCTCCATTCTTCACTGTCTCAAAGTAACTCTCTTGTAGGAGCGTCAAAGTACAATCAGTGGAGGCCATGAACCAAGCCCTCGATACGATGAAAAACAAGGGTTTCATCAACTACTACGGTGAGATTTAATTGTACTGAATGGCCTATTGGACTTACGATTCCTAGGAATGCAAAGGTTTGGGACTGCCTCCGTTCCGACCCATTCGATAGGATTAGCTCTCCTGAAGTCAGAATGGCAAAAGGCTGTTTCTATGATTCTGCGGAAACGACACGGAGAACATCCAGATGTTGCGGCAGCTAGAGATGCATGGTTGGTTGATGGGGATTTGGATACTGCCTTGAGGCTCCTTCCGAAGCGTGTCGTGGCGGAACGGTGCCTTCTTGAAAGCTTCAAGAAACAAGGAGGGGACACAAGGAATGCCATGGGAGCGTTATCAACGGTCAGTGGCGTCTTTATATCGACTGTTCATCCTGACATTCTTATAGATTCCACGAAATCTTCGTTTAATGTACATCCATGCATATCAATCGTACGTCTGGAATGCAATTGTATCGGAGCGCATAAAAAACTATGGGGCCGACAAACCAGTTGTCGGAGATCTTGTTTTTGACAAGGAGGGGGATACAGAGCAAACCGTGGATGTAGGCCTACAGGATGACACTCCCCTCTTCGATGGAATCCCGGAAGAAGTTGATGAACCAGGTATGTGGCATATCCCACATCCTTCTTTAGCAAGCTCTGACACTCGTCTGATCTGATAGATGACACATCTCGTTCCAAGAAATCCCGCAAACCCTACGTTCCCCCTCGGATTAAGACCTTGACTGAATCTGATCTGGACAAGTATACCATTTTCGACGTGATTATGCCTCTACCGGGTACAGATGTTGCCTACCCTGGGGGTAAACTCGGAGAACTCTACAAAGAATTCCTGAGAATGGATGGACTGGATCCAGATAATTTCGTCAGAAAGCAAAGGTTAGCCTTCGTGCTTCGCCGCTAGAGCTCAAGATTGATGAGTTCTAGGGAATATACATTAAACGGTTCCTATCGGGCGATCATCCACCTGCCTCGAGAATTGTCGTGGTCTGTTCTTCGGTACACTGACCCCGATGTTCCTCTCGCACAATCCGACGAAGACGGACTACTTGGTTTCGATCCACCATCAATAGTGGATGACGGGAAGTTCATGGCTCTCCAGATCAAACTTAGCCTTGGGACGGCAGCGTATGCCACGATGGCATTGCGTGAGATAACGAAAACTGATACAAGCTCACACATCCAAACGAGTCTCACGCAGGCCTCTGAAGACCAAAAGTACCGCGGAACTGATTGATTGAAGGGAAGAGAGGGAAAAGCAATAAGTATTTGTGTGTACCTGTACTGGCAGTGGTAGCTTGGCAATTATAAGTACCGGATAATAGGTCCAGTCAGTCGTGTGCGCAGCGTGTGTCAGTACAGTCTGAGGGATCCTGATACAAAAATAATTTTTGGGTGATTCCGAATTCGGAGGCAATCACGGCTGGTAGCGAGCGTAGTTCCCGCAGTGCATAATGTCCTCTACATAAATAAGTCTTCACACAAGAGCTACATTCAATTTAGATGGCGAAGATAGAGACAGTCGTGTTTCTATCTTTGGTGCTAGACTTATTTGCGTTCACAATCCCTCTACCCCTCTTTCCACGTCTCATTGAATGGTATACACTGGTAAGATTACCTTTCTGCTGAAGGTCATTTTTTTTGGACTGACCAAGGACTTCTAGAGGGAGTCTTCGAATCCAACTGGCTTTCTTTCCCGAACGTTGCAGTTTGTGTCTTCAGTGAGAGGAACATTCTACAAGCCCGACACCCACCATCAGAGATGGGATGTCGTACTGTTAGGTGGTGATATCGTTGAGAAACCATTCAAAATCTTGCTGATGACTGTTTCTTGCAGGTGGTTTAATAGGATCTGTTTTCTCGTGCGTTTGTAGATTATTGGATTCAAGTTGGCACTGAACAACACGGATGACCAGGACACTCCAATTCTTCGTTTCACCGAAAATTGGTGCACTGTCCGATAAATATGGGCGGAAACGTATCCTCCTGATCACCATGATTGGCAACATCTTGTCTGCGGTAGTGTGGGTTGACTAAATTGACTTTTATTCGATTCTGATGCTCTAGATGTGGTGTTTCTAGTTGGATACAGTCAACTACATTTGCGACCTACATGCTTTCTCGCGTCATTGGCGGGCTTAGCGAGGGGAATGTGCAACTGGCAATGTCCGTTTGATTTGCAACCACCTCTCCTTCGTTCTCAGACCCTGTTTCAACAGTGCTATTCTTTCAGATGTGACATCACCGGCCAACCGATCCAAGGCTCTGGCTCACGTTGGCATCGCATTTGCGATCTGCTTCTGCATTGGGCCTCCAATCGGGGCCTACTTTGCCTCTCGACCCGTTCCCAGCAACTCTTGGGGCCCGGAGTTGAACATATATGCTGCACCTGCCATTCTGTCACTTGTACTTCTTGTCGCAGAAACGGCCTTCCTCATGATTGCGCTTCCTGAGACACTTGGGAAGGGCGCACCTGGAGAAGAGAAAACACGGCTATCGAATGGCAAAGATGACTCCAAGCCATTAAATAAATACCCCTTTGAGATGCGTATTAAAATTCTCAAAGATCTACGCACCCTCCACTTCTTATTTTTGGTGCTCTTCTCGGGCATAGAATTTACGCTGACATTCCTCACGTTTGATTGTGAGTGGTTTTTGCTAAGCGTGTCTCGTCGCTTTTTTGACCTTCACCGCGCAGTGCTGGATTGGAATAATGTGCAGAACGGCAAACTCATCGGCTCCATCGGCGTTGTCAGTGCCCTTCTTCAAGGCGGCTATGTCCGCCGCTCAATTTCAAAGGTTGGCGAAGGTAATATGGCGCGAAGGGGCGTGTCGAGCTGTGCAATCGCACTGGTCTTCCTTGCGATTCTCCCTCATTATGTTGGAACCAATCCATCAATATCCATGAAACTTCTCCAAGCCGCGGCGATATGCATGGCTTTTACAAGTGCAACCGTCGTCAATTCCTTAACGGCTTTTGCCTCTTTGCAGTGTGACGACGACTTAAGTGCGGATATTGGTAAAAAGGGGCACCCAAAAATAGCGAAGGGCAAAGCGCTTGGGGAGTTCAGGTCGTCGGGACAACTTGGGCGTGCAATTGGACCTTTGTTGGGTGAGCTTTCAGCATAGTTTGGATGTCTAGTATAAAAGTTAATATTTTCACATCAGCTTGTGCCTCATACTGGACATTTGGCCCATCACTGACATACGCAGCTTCTGCAGCTGCCATGGTTGCTTTATCGTTCAACATGAAGTCAATAGCAGCGGCTAAATCTGTCATGGACGAATGATTATGGTATAAGTAAGTATATTTAGTGGTTCAGATGTTCCTATGTATCTGGAGGAGGCGATGATCAATTATCGGGGAATAGATAAAACCTATGCAGGGTATCCGATTTATTGTTTCGTAGCATAGGAAGACCATGACAATGTACCCTAATTGTCCCAAGGGTCCCGATGGGGCGATGAGTGCCTCGATGATGAGCGATTTCTGGCACGCCTTCCTCGTGGTGGATCGGAAAGAGTCAGGGGGAGGTCATGTTCTTGCCGTGGGTGGGGAGCATGAGAAGCCGATTCGCTCACCCCATCTAACGCGATGTCTCCACGTTCCACATCTTGCTGGTTTTTTTCTAATGAAAGCCGAGGTTCCCGCGATATTGGTACGTCCAGGGAGGAATACGATGGTGGCATAGAGGATGAAGGTGATGCTTCTTCGAGCTCGATATCCTGCGACTGTGTAAAGATCGCGGGGAGGAAAAAGAGCACTCCCCAACTGTAAGGCTGTCTTCTGGGCCGAATAGGAGTCATTGGAACTGCTTCTCGAGGGCTTGTTGCCATCATTGACATACGATTGCGCACTCTCCGGAAAGCGTCGACGATGGGGCTTTCGACGCGGCCAGCAAATGGATCCTGAGATGATGACTCCCACGACGAAGAAGAACGGCGAATATTCAATGGCAGATGAAGAACAGGGACGTCGTTGTCCATCGGGGAATCGATTTCGCTTGGGATAGGAGAAGGAAGTTGGGGGGACGTAGAGGCGGATCTTCCGAGATGAAGGTGCCAGCGACCTGATCGGGACAACCGTGGCAGAAGAATTTCGTAGCCACCGATTCTTCGCAAACTCCTCCGCTTTGTTGTTGGCAACCTGATGACTCCTATCACAAGCACCAACAACCCAAACCACATAAGACCTTTGCCCCAAGTTCCCAGAAAACCAATGAAGGCCGCATCATCAGCATGCCAGCTGCTACCATAGAAATGCGAAAAGAACGAGTGAGGCACTTCCTCTGGTTTTGCGTTTTTTCCATACAATGATTTTGGCAGAATCCTGATCTCTGTCCCAGCAGAAGTCGGATGTGATGCAGTATAGAGACCATACTGAGCAGAAAGGAACATGGGTCCCGTCGAAAACATGACGGTAGGATAGTTGAGAATCCAAGAATGGTCAAAGGTGACCAGGTTGTGAATCGTCTGCTCCAGAAGGGGGTGACCTTTCTCTGCGAACATCAAGTCATTTGATACGCCTACAGGAATTGTCTTCGGAAGGATGACTGGGTATATGAGAAGCGGGTCCATGGGTCGCAGACACCCAATGTCTAGATCCATATAAATACCGCCATAGTAGTGGAGAACGAAATAGCGGATAGCGTCGGCGCGTTGTATGGCATAAGTGTAATCGTCAAAAGTGTCAAGGAACCACGAGTAGTGTTCTGCGATGAACTCGCGAGAACTGGCATCTGTCCAAAGCATATATTCACTACCGTAACAAGTTAGATAAGCAGAAGGTGGGGAGCAAGGAACGCACTAGTCTGGCATCATCTCTCGACAGGCGTTGGAGATACCGCTCCAACGAGCTGGTAGAGTCTCTGATTTCCATGTCTGATGAATAATTCTTGGAATACGCTGTACTTTGCCGTGTTCTGCTGGGTTCCAGCGGGTGGAGTTGTCGAGAAAAGGAACTTCTGATTCTGAGAGGTAAGCGCTGGGATCGATGGCGAGATAGTAGGTTACTGAGGAGAGAACGACGACGGTGCCGAGGAGAAATAGGGCGAGGACGGAAAGGAAAACATAAAATGCACGACGTCGGTTCATGAGGGAGAGGAGAAAAATAGTAATTTTTTGCTATCTTGTTTTCATTTAACCTGTGGCTGCATATTCTCCCTGCTGACTAAACAGCGACATGTCATCATAAATTATCTAAAACTACTACGTCGGCCGCAGTTTCAACAGAAATATTTCATTTACATGATGCCCAAGAAAGAATAGAGACTCCCGGATAGACACGTCTTCCCATGCTGCGCTAGTCTCAGCCAAGCTTTCCAACGCAACTTGCCAATCCTTCCGAGACCAGTCTTGACCTCGCCGCGCACCTCGTGTCGTATATGGCTTGCTGAGGAATAGACCTGCCTGCGGAGTAACCTCCTTCACACCTCTTTGCCCATTCAAATATTCAAGGCAATCCGCAGCGTCCCACTCCGTCACATCTCGGGTTTGATGTCTTGGTGCGTGCAAAGATTTCGCCACCCCAGATCGATCCATATCGAAGCCTCTTACTCGTCCGATAAGGTCAACGAGCAATCGCGTAAAGTGATCAATGACCTGTAGATGAAGCAAATCTAGAGCATGATTTGGTTGCAGGACTAATTCTGCGGCGTCGTCATCAACCATCATCATATCTTCGTCTACTTCTGTTGAGTGAAATGTAGTTGGAGCAGATCCATTTTGTGCATTTTTGTAGCTGGCACTGTATGAACCAAACCGCTTCACAGTCAAGCTATTTCCATAAATTTGTTGCGCGATCTCCTTGCTGTTCCAATTCCGAGACGGTGTGATGGTCGGAATACCTGAGCTTTTGGTTTCGGGTTGTTGACATTATGAAGAAACTATTTCTTACCTTCACTGTGGCCACTGAGGCACAAATTGTTGTCCGCACTGCACAAGAAAGTGTGGCGCCCACGACGAAAGTACAAGCAACAGTCTAAAATCAGATTATCGTTTCTCATCTCCGAGTCAGCGATCTGCCATGTATACCTTGTAAACAAGATGATGAGAAGTAGAAGAGAAAAACCTACGTCATTTGGTTCTCTTGATTTCCATTTGCCCGAGGCTTTGCAGGTTTCTCCGTTCGCTTGACCTCTGACAGATTTCCTTCCTTTTATACGATCCAGAAGCCATGACGAAGCGCGACGTGCAAACCACGCCAATCCGTCCCTATTCTTCTGCCTTCCATCCATACGTATTTCAGTTAGCTTCACTTGCAGGACGAAAACGTTGACATACCCATCCAGTTCCAAGATCACGGCGCCTGGAATGACAATCACCAGAGGCAAGGATAGACGTTCAACGTCCTCTAAGAATTGTGACAGGACATCGAAATGATGTAAAAGGATATTGGTGTCTACGACAAAAAAAATTGCGTATTCTGACGGAGGAGGCTAAAACAAAGGGTCTCGTCAACATCTTAGAATCAAAGCGATTGTCTCTCACGAGCATCTCAACATCTTGGGAAAGCTGGTCGATTCGTTGCAGAGTTGCTTGCAGGTAAGAGTCCTTTATATTTGTATCTGCATTCCCTTGGTCGATGGGGCAACCAAAAAGTTGAAAAAAAAGGGCGCACCCGAATAGATTGGGGGGCGTGAGCTCTCGCCGCTGTGAGAATAATCAGTGAAAGCCATCAAACGCACCTTGTACGCGTCTTGAGCAATATAAACCACAAGAAGAGTTTGAACTTGGCCCGGAGGTAGTGGCAAGCAATGTTGTCATTGACCTGTGAGTCAAGGAGGTCAGTGAAGAGGCAAGTCGATCAGAAATGATTTTCGTGGGACAGCCGGAAGCTCGGGCCGACACGTTATGTTTGTCCTTCACTATTTTTAGTCCCACTCTTCCCCCCACGACACGCCTTTCATGTGCGACGAATTCTGCGCCCTCCTTCGCTCTTCCAACAGGCGGCTCGATCACCATGATTTGGGGTTAGGATACGATCACTTGTCAACGGGACGGTCCTCCTCTGCCAAATCACCACTCCCGCAGAGACTAGGGCCGTACAAACACCCGTAGCCCACTTTGTGTGCACCTTGAAGGCGCTGATCTGAACCAAGGGGAGTGTTTCATTATGCGCTCGCTTTAACCAAGGAAGCTAGCCGAATAGCGTCTCGTTACAAATTCTTAAAAGGCGGTTGTTTTTGTAACAAGACCTGAAACGACGCTCACCCAACCTTGAGCTTCACTCGGATATACGTATATCTACACTGTTCATCATACACCTGGAATATTTTTTTTGCACTAGAGATAGAATACGGATGAATCTGGGGATTGTTGAAATCCGGAAACTACGACTAGAAGCAACGCGCGAAGTTCTCTGCCTCCCATCGAAGCACTCCGCATCGCAGCAATGACACCCCGTGTTGTCGACCTAGACTACTACTGCACCAATAAATCGCGCGCAGTCGAGACGAGATCTTGCCACTTAAATTAACCAAATTGCGAGAACAGACGCTGTTGAAGCGGAAGGCACATGGACAATCAAGCATAGTTCTCGCGTGCCCACTTGGCACCTTCAACGAGGTTGATGAGGGAGGCTAGGACAAGGATGTTAAAATGTGAATAGGATCTTTGAGAGATAACCAACCTTCAGTCTCCTTCCAGCCACGGGTCTTAAGACCACAGTCCTGTCAACGGGCATTAGTAGAGCTCCAGAAACTAGAAAGTGGTTACGAACAGGGTTAACGAAAAGGAGTGAGTCAGGTAGGATATCAAGCATGGACTTAAGGCGATCCTTGATCTCCTGGCCTCCGGGTACACGAGGAGAATGAATATCGTAGACACCTGGGCCAATCTGGTTGGAATAGCCGTAATGTTTGAACGTATTGAGCAGTTTCATATCAGCTTTAGAGGCTTCGATCGAAATGACATCGGCGTCAAGGCGCTGGATGGAGGGGAAGATATCATCGAAGTCAGAGTAGCAGAAGTGAGAGTGGGTCTGGAGTTGATCGGTGACCCCAGCAGTGGAAAGTTTGAAGGAATCAACAGCCCACTTGAGGTACGCGTCCCAGTCAGAACGACGAAGAGGCAACTAGGAAAAACAGAAGTTAGCGGCAGAAAGAGAAATATATTTTGGATTACCGACCCCTTCGCGGATTGCGGGCTCATCGACCTGTATAGCGCTGATGCCGGCCTTTTCGAGATCCACAACTTCATCACGAAGAGCGAGAGCAAGTTGCTTAGACTGCAGCTCACGAGAAACATCGGCACGAGGGAAAGACCAATTGAGGATGGTGACAGGCCCAGTAAGCATACCCTTCATCGGCTTCGAGGTAAGGCTTTGTGCATAGCTGCTCCACTTGACAGTCATAGGCCCGGGGCGGGAAACATCCGAAACAATGATAGGAGGGCGGACATAACTAGAGGTAGACTCGGGATTTAATCACAACACCTACTAATGATTGTGAACGTGCTCACCGAGATCCATAGCTTTGGACCCAAGCGTTCTGTGTAAAAACGAATCCATGCAGCTGTTCACCAAAGTACTGAACCATGTCGTTCCTCTCGGGTTCACCGTGCACCAAAAGATCAAGGCCTATCTTTTCTTGGAAACGAACAACGGCCCCAATCTCCTTCTTGATGAACTCTTCATACTGCTCTTCTGTAAGCTCGCCTTTGCCGAGCTTGGCACGAGCTTGACGAATCTCTTTAGTTTGCTGTGGGTGACCTCAGTAACACGCCTATGATTGTAAAGCCCTTCGACATACAGGGAAAGAACCAATGGTAGTGGTTGGGAACTTAGGTAGTTTAAGATGTTTGGCTTGAATTTCTCTGCGAGTGGTGAAGGGGCTTTTGCGTTCAAGCTGATCATCCGTAATTGCCGCGACGCGCTTACGGACTGTGTCATCGGAACTAGATTCGAATTCACGGCGCTTCGCAATAGAGGTATTGTTTTCCTCAAGAGCGGCAGCCACCTTGGGGTCCTGGGAACCTGAAAGTACGGCTGCGATGGTAGCAACCTCGCCCGCCTTTTCGAGAGCGAAGGAAAACCAGTCCTTTTGTTGAGGGGTCAATTTGGTCTCTGAAGCCAGTGTAACAGGGGTATGGAGGAGGGATGAAGAAGTAGCAACAATGACGCGATCAGGACCAAGAGCATCTATTGCCTTCTGTCCAAGCTTGATTGCAGCTGCGAAATCAGTCTTCCAGATGTTGCGACCAGAAACGACACCCAGAGACAGGATGATAGGAGTAGACTTCACAGCGCTGATAACTTCGTCGAGTTGAGCCGGGGCACGGTCAAGGTCGATGTGAAGTCCGGCCACGGGCAACTTGGCGATGAAAGTAAGGTTAGAGTCAAGGCGGGAGAAATATGTGGTAAGAAGGATCTTGGGTGCGACGGGAGCGAGCTCAGCATAAGCAGTGGCGAATTCATTCTCGAGTGCTGCGGCGGTATCTAGAACGAGAATGGGTTCATCAACCTGGACCCACTCGGCACCAGCTTGCTTGAGATCAGTGAGTAGAGTCTTGTAGATGGGGAGAAGCTTGGGGAGAAGACTAATGGGCTGAAAACCGGGTTTGGCGTCCTTGGATGCCTTACCAAGGGTAAGGAATGAGATTGGTCCAAGTACCACGGGACGCGTTGTGACACCGGCTGCTTGCGCTTCTTTGAACTCAAGCAGTGCTTTGTTGAAGTTCAGCTTGAAATCAGTCTCGTCGGAGAACTCGGGAACGACGAAATGATAATTCGAGTCGAACCTTCAATATGGGGATCAGACCTGGAATCATGTAAAATCAAAACAGTGTATACCATTTCTTCATCTCGGACGCAGGCACGTCAACAACCTCGGACTGGCGCCCACGACCCATCGCAAAATAAACATCGAGAGGAGACAATCCGAGCCCAACATATCGCTTGGGAATGACATTGAACGCGGCGGAATGATCAAGGACATGGTCGTACAAGGAAAACTCCCCACTGCTTTATGTAAATAATAACTCATCACTGGTCTGTGTAATCACACACCTGGGAATGAAGTCGACTCCTTGGGCCTTGACGCTTGTCCAGCTGGCCCTTTTAACATCAGCAGCTACTTTCGTGAGTTCATCGGCGGTAAATTTTTCAGCCCAGTAGGCTTCCACAGCCTTCTTCACTTCGCGATTGGCCCCTAAGTAGAAAAAACATCAGGGTCAATGGATATGATTGATTGATTGGTATATACCGATGCGAGGAAAACCAAGAACACTCGACGATACCATATTGTAGATTCTACGGAGATGATGGGAGATAATGGTCAAGAACGAAGTCTCGACGTACTCACGTACTCATTTAAATAGTCCGTCACATGTCAAACCAAACCCTGATAATCGATAAATCGATGATGTGCCTCGCGACATCGCCTGACTTGAAAACGGTCAGCGCTCATCTAAATTGAATCTTTAAAGTTCCATGCATATGCTTATAAGGAGAGTTAGATAGAACATTCTTCGAGGGCGACGGGTGGTTGAACGATCGTTTACATATACATACGCTTCTGAGCCCCGTTCAACAAGAACTAGTCGATTCCAAGAACAAGTCGATTAAAAAAGTCAAGGTTAAAGATTATTGGATCGAAAACTACAGATCATCTAAAGATGTTCTTTTTTTATTTTGCGTATGCCACTCGCCTCTTTGGATCCTTGACACTCTCCTTGCCAGCCCCACTGCACAGTCTAATTGTTGCCAATGATGCGTTGGTATGCAACCTTGAAAAGGTGGGTGCTCCTTGAAAGCCGTTTCCTTATAAGTGACGTGGACTTGACCTTCTCGACAGCACTGAATGGGACCACAGCAGGTTGGCCGAGACCCTCATCTTCAGTCAAGTCAGGGACTTCAATTTCTACATCTGTGGCAAATGTTGCGGGCGTGATGGGTCCCTTGCTATCCCCGTCTGAACCAGAAGAGTCCGAATGGCCAGAGCCAGGTTTGGAAGAGGTGGACAAGGACGGCGAAGAAGCGTCCGACTCACAAACTGAAGAGTCGTTTGAGTTGGTGAAGCGAGGAACGTCGGAAATATGAACAGCCTCGGAGGAGGTGACAGGCGGATGTTCATCAGTAGGACTCGCGAACATGTAAATCTCATCTGAGTCAAGGGATAAAATAGATCCGTCACTGCTGAGGTTTTTCCGCATCCTAGCAACGTGAAGTCCACAAGTAGCTGGCGCGGTCTTTGTTGCAAAAAGTTTCTCATGCTGAGCATCGAAGTGAGATCTAGCGGCAAACTGCTTCTCTTGTATGAACATCGAGTCCAATTCAAGCACCTTCTGGCGTAGATCGGGTAGGATGATTCGACGAAGAGGATTTTCTGTGAATATCCGCTTAAGAATTCTGTTAACGCCTTCTGAGATAGGTAACACTTGTCGGAGGAAGTCGTTATCCTTGAGGAAAGCTGCATAACAGTCATCGTCGGCGGTCGCGTAACGCCAGGGGTTCCGACCAGTGATCATATTGGTGAGAATGACGCCAAGTGCCCAAATGTCGTTGTGGCGAGTTGAATATCTAGTTTCCGAATCCCTTCCAATGCACTCTAGGAATGATATCTTTTAAAAACGCAACGTCAAGGAAGTAATGGCTGAATACTTACCTGGACTCATATAATATGAACTTCCACAGCCAAACTCTTCACAAACGGGACTTCGAATTGAAAGACCAAAGTCAGCAAGACGAATCAAGCTTGAATCCTTTGAAAAGAGGACATTCTCTGGCTTGATGTCACGATGAAAAACGCCAAGATCGTGAATGTGTTCTACGGCATCAAGAAGTTGCAAAAATGCCGTTTTGATGAGCGCACTGTTATTATGAAAGAGGCCTTGCTCGGTGATAGCCGTGAAGAGGTCCCCTCCAGTGCAAAGATCCAGTACGACATAGACATAAAGATCGTCGCGGAAACACGCGTGAAAGGTGACAATGTTTGGGTGTCCAGAGACCAGCTTGTGAAGAGCAAACTCACGTTGTTGAAGGAAGTCAAGATGTGAACCAGGGACGTGGCGGTCAAGACACTTGATAGCGTAGTATGTAGGGTCGCCTTCAGGAGAAGTGGTGTCGAGCGCACGGTAGACCTTTCCATAAGCACCAGAACCCAGACAATCAAGAACAAGGAAGCGACCCTTAGCAAGGACCTGACCAGAAAAGTCAGGCATGAGTTCGATAGCGGCGATGCCACGGGCCATGATGAAGAAGAAGTAAAGGTGAATGAGGGTTAATGAGTGTATCAAACCAGTTGAACGCTGTTCGGAAGATGAAGTAGGCTGTATAATAAGGAAAGTTGGACAATGGGTCAAACCAGTTGACACTTGGTAAGGATGGAAGACAGAACGTAAACTGAAGTGAAAAGGAGAGAGTGCAAGTCAAAGCGTAGGGCTACAAGTTTATACTCAGCTTTATGTGGCTGACCAAACCAAGATCACATGACGTCACATATTTTTGTCCCTACAACGATGTCAGTCAATCCCAAGGTCAATCCTGCCTTCGTTCTTCGAGGTATCGAAGACGTCATCTTTGAAGATCGTCCCATTCCAAAGGGTATGCGTTAAAGCCTCCACTTCTATTTCAACAGCTTAACCTATCTCAGTCTCGGACGACGAGGTGCTCGTCGAAGTCAAGAAAACCGGTAAGGAGTTGTTCATACACGCGACATCGATTCGACCTACTAATTTCATTGTAGGTATATGTGGCTCGGATGTCATTTGATCCCACTGCGGGCTAGATTGTTCTTCCTAAACTTAAGCATAGGTGCATTATCTCCTAGAGGGACGCATTGGCGACTTTATTGTGGAGAAACCGATGGTTCGTATCAGCTGCTTCTTTTGGAAGCAACGAAGCTCATTCATGCAAGGTGTTGGGCCACGAGTCAGCTGGAATAATCGCAAAAAGTTCACAGCTTAAATTTCTCAGCCTGGTGTATCCTAACCACCTCACAAGTTGGCACAAAGGTGAAGCATTTGAAGGTTGGAGATCGAGTAGCAATGGAGCCAGGGGCGACATGTAGTGAGCGGCAATGTATTCGGAATTGAATACCCTCATTCTCTTTTCTTAGAATCCTGTGAAACCTGCAAAGCGGGACGCTATGAGGTCGGGTTCTTTGGAAATCCACGGACACAACGGTTGACGATAATTTTGCTCAGTTATGTCCGGCGATTATTTTCGCAGCGACTCCGCCGTATGATGGGACACTCAGCCGCTATTATCTTTTGCCTGCTGACCTCGCCTATCTACTGCCTGAAAACGTTTCTTTAGAAGATGGTGCCATGGTGCGTCCTATAAATGTTCGAAAATCACCATCCTCATCTGTTGTTGTAAAAGATGGAACCTCTTTCGGTAGCAGTTCACTCCGTGTCAACTCTGGGTGCTTTCCGAACCAACCAGAGCATCGCGGTCTTTGGATGTGGACCTATTGGTCTCCTGTGTATGGCTGTTGCGAGAGCACTGGGAGCCTCCCGTATCATTGCCGTGGACATCAATCCTGATCGGCTTCGATTCGCTAAACAATACGCAGCCACGCAGACGTTTCTACCCATGGAAGCAAATGAAGGGGAAAGTGCGATCGACGTCATCGAGCGCAACGCCAAACACATGAAAAATCAACTTCAAATCGACGACAGGGGCGAGCGGTCTATTGACCTTGTGGTCGATGCCAGTGGTGCGGAAGCTTCTGTGCAAACTGCGTTTTACGTTGCAAAGGCTGGCGGCACATTTGTCCAGGTAGAGATCTCGATGTTTGATTTGGGCTCACTCTCAGAACTCTTTCTTAGGTCGGGATGGGCAATCCAAACGTAACTGTCAACGTAAACCTGCTTACTATCAAAGAGCTCACATACAAGGGATCCTTCCGCTATGGTGTAAGAAATTACACGAATCTGTTGCTGAACTTGTATTCTAACCCTCTCATTAGCCTGGCGATTATCCGCTTGCCATCGCCCTAGTTGCTCAAGGTCGTGTTGACCTGAAACCTTTGGTCACTCATCGGTAAAGATCTGGTCCTACGCGTTTTACGATGTTCACATACCTCATTTCCATTCAGTTTTAAATTCGACGAAGCTATTACTGCTTTCAAGGCAACTCGGGCTGGGAGGAGCGATGATGGGAAAGCCGTTATTAAGGCAATTATTTCTGGGCCGGAAGATTGGGCGGCCGCAAAGGAACATGACTCCAAAGATGAAGCGTAAGTCTTGTGTAGTATCACTCCAGACACCACCGGATATGTGGGGCTCAGGCTATAGCACGAGCATCTTGTTACAACTGGAATAAGAATTCAAACTGCATACATATCAATCTAAAAAAGCAATCTTTGTGCATGTGATACTCTGATACCCTTTGATAATTATATTGCCCATACGATGAATAGTCATCGTTTGGCTCGGGAGTTGCCTACGTTCAACATGTCAAGTCTAAAGATTGTTCAGACATTACTATTATAATATGTTGATAATATGAATGTCCTGCAGATCCTTTTTCATATCCCAACAATTCGCTTAGTATTGTTGATACTGGTACCTACTACCTATTCTCCAGTTTTTTTATGCATGTGTCGGATACGAAGCCCTAAACCGTCTCAAGTGTGCGTCCCGGATGACCTGTGACGGACTGGATAGTCAGAGTAGAGGACGCCATCACTTCCACATACTTATCCCTGAAAATCCCATCGAAAGTCCCATCATCAATACCGCTCTACCTCCTCTTCATCGGACTGGCAGAAAGCAAGCGCACGCCACAAATTCATGATCAGAAGTTTCAATTGTATGAGATAATTTAGGTACATGATATCACGATGACGACAGCATAAATTCTCCACGGGGAACTACCTTGAGCTCATTGTCTAGAATCTTCACTTGACTGAAGTCGTCATCGAACGTGATATGGTACAATTTTTGAAGATCTGAAGAGAGGTAGAGGCGAAGTTGAGTATATGAGATGATGATAGACGTAAATAGATATTCTTACGTGGGTGTTGTGTTGTGGGTTGGGTTGTACGGCAATCGAGGATGATGTAGTCTGTCAGAGAAAGAGTGGTTCCGTAGGATCCAGTTTCCGATGAAAACCACCCGGAATGTTGCGCAAGCTGGACGCCATCTCGCAGAAGCTCTACTCCCCATTTTTTAGCGGGAATGTAGAAATCGACCCGCCCTTTCGCTGTACCGAATTCGGGAAAGGTCACAAGCGAGCCATTGGAATGAGCGTGACAGCAACGGTAAAATTCAGCCTGATACTGAGCTTCATGTGGATGTTGAACTTGACCAGCAGCACTAATTCTCCGTGTTGTCGAAAGCATTCTTGGACAGAACTTCTGAATGACTTCGATCACGAAGTCTAGGATATTGTCTGCGCAAAAGGTTGTATCCAAGATGCCCCACAGCTTCCATTCTATGTACCAGCGGTGAAGCGACGATGGGAAAAAGTACTTGGTTTTGTTGTCAATGTAGTCGGTGTGAAGCCAACCATTGCGAAAACATAGCTGGAGCGCGCTGCTATTGTCCTCAGTCGTGAAGTCGGTATCCTGCACAGAACCCATACGAAGAACAGAGGAAAAGACACAAGCAACAGCTGGCACCCTGAGATCATTATCTAGAGGCAGTCCCCTCCTGAATACACCGGCAGCTGCACTTTCAAACTGTTGCAAGAACCAAACCAGACTGACTCTTTTCTGAAATAGTTCCAAAGTGTAATGCTGTCCGGAGTGTTTGAGTTCACGATATAGCTGGAAGATAAGATCAGTTTCAACTTCTTGTTAAGAAGAAAGTACATTACGTCAGATCCAAGAATAATGGTTAGGAAGGAATACATTGCTCCTACGTGTCCCTCGGTAACCTTAAAGACTGCATCGAGAAAGGAAGGATGGAAGTAATACGTTGAGTCTGGATACTGCTTTGAAACCAGCTCGTCGAACTCTGCACAGGTGAAAAGGAGACCCGCAGCTGGCAGATTGTCCTCGTGGGTGGTGGGAAGTAAGCTGACCCTCGCTGGAGATGCGACAAAGATTGGAGTGCCTTCTATGTCGATGAACGAAGATGGGCTGCCATAACTCGCAAAGACAATGGCACGACGATTACTGTAGTCATGTATGCCTTTGAACAACTCGTTCCAGAGTTCCCCATCCTGATACGACACCTGTGCATTATCAAAAATAAATACAGTGTCCTCACCTGGGATCCACCCCTTTGGTTCCTTGAGGTAACAATGCCATCCCCCACACTCTGCCACATCATCTATCTTCCACCCGCCAATCCAAATAACATGCACATCAGGTTCTTGAACACAAATATAATGACCGAGCAGCTTTGCAAGCGTTGACTTACCGCTTGCAGGCGTCCCACGAACCTACAAAAACTCAGAAAACATTGTAAAATATTCAACATCATGACTATACCTGGATGAAGCGATATAAAAACAGCTTTCGATATATTGCTGATACTGTACCACTTCGCGCCACTACGTTCGCTAAGGTTCATGTAAGCCTGGTGAATGGTAGTTATGAATGGTTCTTACGTGGTGGGTCAGGAAACCATGATGTAAGACAAAGTTGTTTGTGAGGTGGGGACTCTGTGGGAAGATGGAGCAGTCACAGAAAGACGATCAAGCCGACGGGAGGTTATGAGATGGGTGGCAATAAAACAAGTTGTTGAGGTGATGTTTGGAAACACGACGAATGGGCGGGACAAGGGCAAGTGGAAAAAAAAGTGAGTAGAAGGTGGCATTGTTAGTGTGTGAGTGAGGAAAGTTGCACTGGTACTCACGGATACACAGGCACTTCACAATGACGTGAATACGGTCTCTGAGAGGCTGTGTTGGAAATATGCTGAAGAGGGTTTTTGTGGGGCCTAGATTGTCTGCAAATTTTGAGAGATTGTGTCCCAGGACCTCGATACGCTTAACGAGAGAGTCATGTGGCTCAGTGGTAATGTGGTTGGAGTCCTTAAGCTAAGAAAAACAATGTCATTTCACATAGAGGGTTGTTGATGGAGCTCACCTTCCACAATCCTAGTAAGTCAGGACTGACATCCTTTAAACTATCCTGTGCTCGCCGCTCTTGTATTGATTCCTTCAAGTTGCTGACACTATCATCACCTGTTACGTTCATCGTAAAGGCAATGTCTTCGCCTTCTATGAGACAATTTAGGCAGAGAGTGATAGGCATGTCTGTAAGTCTATTGTGGACTGTTTGTACCATAAAAGCTTGATGGATCTTTCACGGATCATTTTAGCAAAGAGTTCTCAGACAGGTAATAGTGGGGGTGGGCAATTCCCGCTAAGTGACAATCATGTCACATCACACATGTCACGTGATGCCATCGCGAAACACTGACCCAGTCGCGCCATCACTGCAATCCATCTCTGTTCCATTGAACGACATGCAGGAACGTGATTTGGATAGAAAATCTATAAATCCTTCCAGCTAACTGCATAATTGTAGACCACATCTGAAATTTCACTTTGCGCCCTTGTTTGTACATAAACGGCAGTGGCTATGCTAATCATGACGCCCATTGTGAGTTTCCCGCCCATCGCTCCACGTTCTAGCTTGCTTTAGTGCTCCAGTATGTCATCGCAATATACTACATCGTCGACCCTCGCGATTTGTGGAGATTAAGCTACTATAAAAGACCCACGTCGATGCGCTCTTCAACAAACATGGCTTCCAACTTTTATCCAAATCACTTCGCCCATCCTCCTCAATCGCAACGAGAGCCTGCTCAACAAGCAGCGTATCTCCTTGGAATGGGTCCTATGCCTCCTCCTCGTCCCCAGGAGGTCGCTGTTGCTGCTGCAATGCATCTACTTAACCACAACTCTCCAGATGATTCCGATGAAGAGAACATTGACCCCCAGCTCAGACGCCAGGAGCAGACACAAGCGTATAAAGAGACAGGTATTTTGTTATTGTGCGGGGTGCATTGATGAAACTGATTTGACTAGACACTCAAGTCACCGTTCGCATTCCTATCAACAACTCCTTAACTCGAGACATCGACTTTTCCACTGCGATTCCATGCGGCGACTTCCTGGACCGCATCTTTGCTGCCATGAACCTCGATCCCACTGCTGCACAGCTTGGATGGAAGACTAATGACGAGCCAAAGCGCGCTCCAGCCCATCAGCTGTCCACCCCAGCCGATATCGACAATGCATTCAAGACACTAACAAAGATGAAGAGTAGCACTCGCCGTCAGAAGGAGGTTGTCATGGTTATTGTTCACTTGGTGTGTTGGCCACCTCACCCGAACACAAACCCAATTGATTTTTTATTCTAGAATCCTACGCCCCCCGAGGTCGCAAAGAAGAAGGTCGACGGCAATCGCATCACGGATTTTGCTTACAGCGCTGAGCTACGCATTGTGCAGGAGAAGCTCCGATGTGCTCTGCATGCCGGACCCAACCGATGGTGCTACGTTAGCCCCGATCACCCAGCCGACCATATTCCGCTAGGTTATGAGGAGATCAGTCTATGGGCCCGAAAGATTGTACGTGCACACCTCTTCTATAATGTCCTACCTTCACCCTCCTTTCCAGCATGACAACAGCGCTGACCCAGATTGTATCACCCCACCACACTGCCTGAGGCTCGACGATCTCCGCCAACGAGCAAGTCGCGTTCGAAAGCCTAATACAAAGACGGACACCCCTCCCATTCACGTTCATATCAACAACGGACCCCTCGGTAACTCTCGCATAACCAATAACTCTCCTTCCCCAACTCGCGGTTTGAAGCGACTCAACTCCTCGACATCTGATTCCAGCGAGGACAGCAATGCCGAGTCCCTCTCGCTTTCGCTCATTCTTGACGATCTTGATGTCAAGTTCCCCAAGCTGAACCTCCCACAGTACATGCCGCTCCTCGAGGAAAAGGGCATCGTTTATGTAGAGAGTGTCTTCGATTTCGACCGAAAGTATTACATTGATCTTGGGCTGGCTGAAGGTGCCGTAGGCCCATTTTTAGGTGGAGTGAAGAAAGCTCTTGCTCGCGGGAAGAGGGAGAAGAAGCGAGCAAAGGTCAATAAAGAGAATAGGTCCGCAAGCCTTGAAATTTAATCATGTACAATGTAGCCACAATCTCTATACCATCCAACTATGTTTTCAGGTGTCATTGACTCGAAAACGGCCCTCCAGAGCATGGCATAGGGATCACATGTTGGTGCTCCTGTAAGTTCCCCCAAAACATAGTCATTGTTCCTCCGAATCCATGCCTTCATCGATGAAAAACCTTCCTCTACAGGGTCGAAGTCAGGAGAGTAAGGCGGGAGGTAACGAAGACGGCAGCTGCTGCACCATGAGTCATTCATTAGGGAACAAAGTGGCATGCTGCATAACAGAGACTACGCACCGAGCCTCAACCATATCGCGCAAATCCTCAAAGTGGTGCACACTCGCGTTATCCATAACCAACACAGAGTTTTTTTGTGGCCACGGGTTCATGCGGTCTAACAAAATATCAATGAAGCCACGGAACTCATCTGATGTCCAAGACCGTGTTAGGATATCAAGGTGCAGAACACCTTCTAAACATATTGCGGGAAGTATGGAAAATCTAATCAGCATAATGTTAGTGCCGGTTGCCCCAGTCATGCCTCAAAACACACAGCACCTTTGTCCCCGAACAAAACAATCATGGCGGCGTGCCCTTTCACCAATGGGTGCCCATCCTTTCGCCCGATTTCCAGTCAAGCGGTTACAGGCCGCTTTGTCGAGAAAGACAAGTGTTTTAGGAGGATAATTTTCCCCAATATCGGCCTGGTATTGTAGTCGGACCTCCTCATCGCGTGCTATCTTCTAGAAATTCAGTCTTCGTTCGTTATTGGATAGGGATATCTTGCACCTTCTTCCTGGTGAAACCCCGTCTGTACAAAGTCCGCGTTATGGTGGATGCATCAACCTCAGCACCGTAAGTCACAAATAGAGCATTTTGTAACTCTGTAACATAAATGTCAGGCCTCTGCTCGATGAGGCTTTCAAGATACTAAGAATATGCTCAGACGGTTCAGATAAGTTTCATCAATTGGTGATAAAGCGAAGTGCATACCTCCACCTCTAGAGAATTCAAGACCCTTGGTCTTCCTGGCTCTAATGGTTGTCTCATAACCCTCCCCGTATCATTCCAAAGCTTGAGGATTCTGCGGATGGTTCGAGCGCTTATTCCGGTGCTTTGTTCAATGTTGGTAGTGCTTGTCCCACGAATATGCATCGTGACAATGAGCCGCTTTTGCTCTGGCGGGATGTAGCGGTAGTTGCTGGGCATGTTGTTGTAAAGTAAGAAAAGATGTATATAGTCAAGGTGCTCCAAGCCTGCCCTGCACGTCATAACGGTGGAGTGGTTGGAAGGTCGCTCTACCTAATACGGTTGTTTGTACAAATAAGGGCGCACAAAGTAAAAAACAGATGTGGTCTACGATTATGCAGTTAGCTGTCAAGTAGCCATGTATTATTATTTACTTATAGTTGTGGAATGAGAAAACTCCCTGCCAAATGGTGCTGAAGAGGCCCCCCATTCTGGTACCTTGGTTCCCCCTTCAACAACTCATTTCTGTGTAAACTTTCATTATTGACAGTTGATATATGTGATTATAGGCACAAAATGTTCAGGCCAGAATTTTAAAATCACATTGCCTTTGCACTAAACCCATCCAAAAAATGTGATATGGCACACTTCCAGGACAGATATAAAAAATCTATCAAGAACATTTTGTTTGAATCTTTTTTCTGATCATCTTTCGTTGTTGAATCATAACCTGGGGGTGAGTGGTTGCTCTTGCATAGTCTATTCTTTGCTAAGCAGCAACAACAAGAGGTGCCAAAGCAGCTTATATCTACATCAACAAAGCCTAGAATCAGTTCTTAAATTCATATCATAGTATCCCAAGAAGTTTTGACAATTTTTGTTCCAGAGAGACATGCACTACACACCAGGAATGAGGGTGACCATGAAATTGAGGAATATATGGTATTTACATGTTATCTTCCGTTGAATGCTGATTCTGACTCACCTAAATTAGAAAATCTACTTCCAAATGTTGTAGAATTACATTCATGTGTATTTTTTTTTGTAGCACTGCTCAGAACTTCGTTTATGGCGAACAGCCTGAGTTGAGGCCATCTGTGATGCACATGTGACATTGGGTCACTGTTTTGGGGGAAATCAGTCACAGTGTGTTATGTCACGCTCCCAAACACTACAGCAGAATTGCCCACCCCCAGTAATAGATAGGGGGTTCACAGCCTTATGCTTGTTCATGATTTTGAAACTTTTTCAGTGTTGTCCCAACTCATTAAGTAAATCCTTTGGATTTTGTGACAATTTTCAATATACTTTTTTCTCTTTTATATGTACGAATACTTATCTACTTTTCTTTAGTGTTGCATTGGCTCTGTGTGGGTTCAAAAATTCCAGACTGTTGTCATGCTATTGATTTGGCAGGCGAAAATGTCATGCTTAAGTTAGGGCTGTTTGTGAGCAAAGTTTTGTATCATACTTGCCCTCCTATCCAACAGCATTTCATCTCTCTCTCTGAAAATTGTATTCAAACACATAACATTTCAATGCAATTGGAAAGTTTCAGAATTGTCAGTCCAGCTGATCTAGAGGGATCTGAGAAAACCGAGAGAAAACATCCCATTACTTTTCTTTGTTCAGCATCATGAAAGGCACAAAGTTGTATCTCTTGAACTCTCTGAGACAACAAATCTCATGTAGAAATACATCTTCTGTGAAAATGTTAAGATTCTAAGGCAAGTGGAGGGAAAGGTAATCCACAGTCTACAAACTTTTCAAAATCATGAACAATTTAACTATGTCTTGCAAGAATTATGCAGTCTACTGTCTCATGCTCACTCTAATTGATAATCGATCAGTATCGGACCTGTACATTCTTGTGAGGGTGTTCATCTGTTGTACTAGATGCTTTGAAGCCATGGTGGTATGGTATTGTAGTACTTGGTAGGTGGTTAGTACCTCCATTCTACTTGAATGGGAGGCTATTAGTCATAAGAACACAAATTGCTGGTCCAGGACAAAGCATTCTCGGTCTTGTTTACAGAAGAAATCCACTAGGACTTGTAGCACCTGGTCAACGGTCACAATGACCTGTGAAGCTTCCAGAAGCAGGGTACGTTTGATACCATGGGTGATGTTTTGTCTGGTGTGTCTTACTAGGTTGCTCTTGCTGACTTCATACTTGGTGAACTTCCGTACAGCTGATCCCAGATTTTCCCACTGACAGTCCCTAGGAGTGTTGTAGACCAGTTCGATCATGCTTCTCAAGCGATCACACTCATATTTCATGTTACCTGGGATTACTCCGTCTATTGCACCCAGAGGTACAAGAGCATCTTTGTCAATGGCTGGGTCAAACTTGCTGAACATGTGTTCGGTTGACCTGGTGATAGGCTCTGCCCAGATTGGTATGTTCCTGGCTGCTAGTGTTTGAAAGTTAGGTTAGTTAACCAGAAAATAACCAGACCTAACCGCAACACTAACGTAACCACGGTTAGGGTTAGTTGATTTCGAAAATGGAATAATTGGTTATTTTGCAGTTAACTAACCGTTAACTAACCGGTTATAACTGGTTATAACCAGCCCTATTATACACCTTCAAAACGCACTTGAGAACATCGAAAACACTTAAAATTTGACTAAGTTACGGTCAAATCTCTAAAATATCATTCAAATGTGTAGACTTTCAAGGATAATTGCATAAATATGTCAATTATTCACCGATTTTAGCGTTATTGGGCTCGTTTTAAAGCTAGAATATGCAGAAATAATATCTATCAAGATATATATGAGCATATTTGCCTTGTTATAACCGATTCTTTATTTTTCGGTCCTAACCGGTTAGTAACTGCAAATAACCGACCGTAACCGGTTAGTTGTGGTCTGGTTAGGTTATTTTAGGTTTTGGGACAAAGGCTAACTGGTCTCGGTCTCGGTTAGAGCCCCTGGGCACCCAATAACCGGACTTAACCGGACTTTCGAACACTACTGGCTGCATCTATGTCCCAGAAGATGGTTCGACATTCGGATTCTTTGTCTTCTATAGAGACTGTATCCGGATCATTTTCCCCTTCCTGGTGGCTGGAAGAGAATGCTTGGGTCACATTGTCGACGGTCTCCTTCTGCATGGTGTCTTGGACCTTCCTTAGGTCATCCCTGAAGGCTTGAGAGGACTCGGATGGTGGGACTTGTACTTGTTGGCTGTGGGCGGCAAGAGGGTTCGCGCCTGCAGTTGAAGGCTTTCATGGAGCCTTATTAGAGTTGTTCGCACTCTTGGGAGCAGCAGGTATTCCACTCGCGCTTCTACTAGCAGCGATTTGGAAGCTCACACTTCTGTTAGCAGTGGGCATGCGTTTCATGCCCTGAGAGGCAGCAGGGGTTAGGGAGTCCAGGTGGTGAGGTCCAGTGAGCACTGAACCAGAGGATGGCATGGGACTGCCGTTTGTGGGGGAGATGGCTTCTGGATCCAGCTCCTTGGTCATAGACACTCCTTTCCCTTTCTTCCTCGTCATCAAGGGGGTTACTATTTCGCAACTAGCCAAGTTGTTCATGTTGTGTGTTTTGTTTTTTTGTGGGTTGTCTCCTGTGGAGGGAGTTGTCGAACTCATGGTAAGAAAGGATAGAGGGGTTTGCTGGCAAGCACCCTGCTTAAGTAGGGTTGACCAGTACTCAGGGTGCGGGCAGGGTCACTCTTCCCCAAGCAGGCTTGGAGTTAGGGTCTGTTTCGTGAGAGGAATTCCGTTCCCTGGCAGGGGCTCTTCCTTGACTGAGCAGTTCAGGAGTAGTTGAGGTTGTTGGGCATAGCTTGTATGGGTTGGGAGAGGTAGAATAATGGAAGTGATTGGTGTATCGTTTGGTTTAGGAAGGTTGACTGAACTACTTGTTGATCGTGTATATGGTACCCAGGTTACAGATGATGAGGAGTTGTCATCTGCATCTGTAATGGTGTGGTAATACCTACTCATTGCATGATCTAGAACCATTGTATTTACACATATTTGTCCTGGCTCTGTATAGCACTGTATTCACAACAAATAAACTAACTTTGCAACCACATCATATATTACATGTGGACGGAGTCACACCCTTTCTATATGGCTAGGCAGCCACCAGAGTCCTGCGCTGGGTGACCATGCCCCAGTTCCTGGGTCACAGGATAAACTACACATGGTACCGCTTCACAGCACCACATTACGAACTCTTTCATGCATACCACAAATATTCTCCACTGCCATCTTGCACTCATGCCTTCGTTGAGAAGTCCCAATCAACCCTTTGGTTTCACAGCATCACTACCTTCGAAAGCAGCAGTTGCATGCACTAATGAAGGTTCAGAGGGGTCGTCCTTGACGTTGTAACCCTCAAAAGCAGCGGGGATGTGCGCTGATGAGGGTTTTGTTGGGTTGTTGGTCGGTGTTCTGTCTGTTTGAGGTCTTGAGGGAGTGGGAAGCCTAGAGACTGTCATTAATCAACAGATTGCATTGGTGGTACTCACCTGTTGCGCTTCCTCCGTATTTAGGCACTCAGGGACTTCATGTTGATGAAGTCCGTGGTGCCCCCACCATTGTGAAATCCACTGATTGGTTCTGACTCCTCAATGAGTCCCAGATTGCGATACAACAGAGGAGAGTAATTGTGGTACTTGCGAGAGGCTTGATGAGGTGACTCTGGATGTGGGAGTCACGTGTTGGTCTTCCTGTGATCCTGGAACAGGAGCACAGTCACCCAGCACAGGGCTCTGATATCCTGGAGGGGAGACAATGGGTCATCTAACCTTAGTGAGAGGGTGTGACCCGATCCACATGTAAGTATATAGTGGTTTCAAGTTATCTTTTATTGTTTGTATGTGCAACACTATATACAAGTTTGCCAAACAAGAGTAAATGGTGCTACTAGATCACACAAGGTAGAGGTTAGTATACTATGCTCTCACAATGAGTACAAGATCTCCCAGTATGTCTCCTACTTTTTTACAAGATCAACTCCTTATGAAGTTTTTAGAGCTTTCAACAGCCTTAATCAAAAGGACAAATTGGATCAGGTCATTGAGCCAAAGGATGTTGTTTCGTGGCAGAGCACAGTCAACATGCAGGCAGCACAGGTTCAGGGAAAGACCAAGAAGCGGAGGCGCATTGATTAGATCTGGGGAAGACAAGTGGGATGCTGGCCCTGTGCCAATAATACATGATTTATTTGCCTGTAATTGCTACATCAATAAGACTGTTATCATCGTCTTTTGGTTGTCACTCTAGCGAATTAGTAGCATAAATAATGCCATGCATTGATAACCTGGGGTATCACTCTTTCCGCCACATGCTAGGATTGTGACTACATTATGAAGAAGATTCTGTTTGTAATTGAGTCAATGTAGTTTTGATGTTCAGACCAATACCGTGTCTAGCACACTATGTGAGGATACAGAGATGCCCTGTCATTTCATTCTGTCCAGCCCTAGCTGTAAGAATTGACCAAATCCCTATGGACTTGAGCACAAGATGCTATTGCATAGGGCCTGCATTCAACCACTTTCCAAAAAGCAAGGATGTTCCACACTCAATTTTCTCATAAAAAATGCTCGAAATTTTCGAAAAAAACTGTTCTGTTTTACTTCCATGTGGAGCTCTTTACTCTCCTCCACCTATTCCTAACAGACTCCTACTGGACTCCCGGATTCCTACTGGATTCCTACCGGACTGGACTAGGACTGGGACAATTTTTATGTTGGCTGATCACCATACAAATTTTGTGTCCCAGTCCTAGTGGAGTCCTAGTGGAGTCCTAGTAAATTCCTAGTAAATTCCTACTGGAATGGTCCCAAATGACAAGGAATTGTGGATTCCTAAGGAATGGGTATAGTGGAGTCCAGTAGGAATCCAGTAGGAGTCCAGTAGGAATTTCCGAGCACTAGGAGTCCAGTAGGACCAGTAGTTTGTCACTGTTGTTGTTATTATATAATATTAAAAAAAAGCGCAACCATGAGAATTGAACCCTCGACGTTATGGACACAGTAGCATATTACAGACACGAGCACTCTACCAGTTACACTACGATGGCTTTATTATGGATATAAATTATATACCCTACATACCAACCGGCTGACCTCTTCCCAGAAAGGACGCTGGCAAATTCCGCAAGTGGGAAATTTGCACAACCCTCAACCCACCATCGAAAACCTCTCTCACTTGAGACAGCACCGGATATGTAGGGCTAAATAGCCATCAACATAGCCTTTCAAAACTGGAGAATAGCAAACCTGCGATGTAGGGTAAACATAACAATAAGAAAATTTTCAATTTGGTGAACAATAGAACAAACGGACATATTGGGCTATACAGAGTTTATCTAATTGTTCTTTAGATAGTTAGAAATTTATTGTTCACTATGAACGACATGCATAGTGGTCGCGGTATTCAACACAAATTGCCACCTATGGAGGCTGATCATTTTTTACATCATTGTTTCAATATGATGAAAGGCATAAATTGATCACAAATTCCGGGTCTGATCTCGCATCTTTTCCTGAATATGATTGAAATTCATTTTCTAAATATAAACAGTTGAATAAAAACGTTGAATTTGCCCTAAAACATATCAAGAAAATGTGCAGCCAATATACCGCGTGCCCGCTGAGTGCCCCACTGAGTGCCCCCCTCATGCCCGACTTTACGAAGTTAACGGTAAACGACCACTAATTGCTCAGTCAGGATTTTAACATCCACCCGCCTCCTACGTGTAGCCGACTCCCAGTTAGAGCATCCGCAAACATCGTGTTTGAAGTCCATGATCTTGAACTTCTTACCCTTGTGCAGTCCCTCGAAAGCAACTCCAATTTCCTGAACTTGAGAGGGAATATCGGGAACCAAGTATTCAAAGGGGACTTCAATGTTTCCCACATAACGGTGACCTTCACCATGTCCCCCACGACACCCTTGAATTCGACCCGCTTGTTCTCGTACTTTCCATTGTGGAAATCAGGATTTGAATGTAATATTCGAAGGGATATCCTCATTCCGTTGAAGCAACTCTCTGCAAGCCAGTACGGAGGAGGGGCTGTCCGAAAGTTATAAAATTTATAACACCGAGGGCTGAAACTAATGTTGTTCTTACCATTATCACCGTGATTGGGTGTACGCGAACCAGGGTTCCAGGCAGGACTCATAGGTATGTCTTCAATGGCAGGGAGCGGAGTGGACGCAACATTAGCATGTGGCGCGGATGTCGGAATTGAGTGTAATGGAAGGATAGCAGAGGTGGTAGAAGACCCTGACGAGGTCGCAGGTGCAGAAGGCCCTGGGGATGAGTCTCTATTCTCAATTTTGCTCATCCTGTAGTCGGCGCTGAAAGCGCGTCAAGCATGATTTGGCAGATGAAATCAAAACTCACAGGAGGTGTAGAGATCTAACATCGAACGGTTCTTGACGTTGTAAATGTGCTTCGAGCTCAACAAGTACTTTACCCCCACGTAAAGTGCTCTTGACTATACCTTGATAGCTCTTGAAATTTCCGGCAGTGACGACTACATGCTTCCCAACAAGATATCTGTTGGGGTCTGTGTAGATCTTGTCCAACTTGTCCAAGAGACCCTTCGTTGCCTGCCCTTGTGCTGTCGTTATTGAAAGGCCCTTGTGTTCTCCAAAAATTCGTGGTGGACTGTAGAAAACAACAGAGTACATCGACGTTTCGATCTAGTAATAGCGTCAGTCATGTAAAACTTGTGGGAAAAAATCTAACCTCAATTGCAGCCTCGTGGTTGTATACCCATACAGAATTATCGTTTAGGTTTACTACCCATCCAGTGATGCCTTTCTGAGTTCCCAATTCGACGCGGACTTTGTCACCGATTCTGAGGTGTTTTCGAAGGGATGCCAGTGGGATGGTAGAAGTCAACCCCTCCAGTGGGAGGAAGAGGTTGGCATCTTTTTCTCTCAATGCGATGATACATCCGAAAAGACCCTTCGAATCCCCATCAATTACCTTTACGGCGTCGTCTAGACGAAAGGATTTAGAAGTAATTTGTTCTATGGTTCTCTGCCGCGCGTCCGCTGGTATTGAAGAGCACGCACTAAAGAGACTGTACTCTTCAGCTGTTGGGATTGCGTCCTCGGGAGTGTACCTGTCCGTATCTAGTGCCTTCAATATGGCGTACCCATCGTGGTCATAAAGAACGCCTTTGAATAAAGACAGGCGATTTTTCGATCGCAAAGCCCGTGGATACCTTTGTTGAGCAAGGCTTGTACTAAAAAGACTTTGTGAAGGACGATCTGAACCCCATTTCTTCAATAACTCGGGACGAGGGTTATAGTTTTGCGCGAAACGGGAGTCTTTTTCCAAGTCCACCAGTTCGACAGTGGTGGCGGCACCTTTTTTGTGGGAGGGTTCATAGACAACTCGAGGCACAACTAAAACATCAACCAGCAGTGACAAACTGGTCCGTGTCACAAAAGCAATATCGCCCTTAAACAGCCCCTTGCTAAGTCTCACCCAGCCGCCTGACCTGGGTCTGTATGTATCGGGAACGTTGAAAATAACTCGGGGATCTACTGAGATTGGAGTTATTTTGGACGAGAAAACGTTCGGAAGACCCTCGCAGATGTCGCGAACGATGTCTCGTGAGGCGGCCTCAAAGAATATTCTTCCTGGTAATGAGGTCCAACCGAATACGCATGGTGCTCGTAAATGAGAAGGAAATCGAGCGTCAACTAAACGTTTGTAAACACGAAAGACAGCATGTTCCTCATAGCCAGGCTAAGCAGGTGAGCGACAAGAAAAGTTACAAAAGGTAATAGCCCTACCGTTACGACGACAACCCACAGAGACTTTGTATCAGTTGAACTAGCGAGCTCAATCCTGCGTTCAAGCTCGTCACATTTATCAGCGTCATCTTCGACCTGTGGAAGATGTCCGACTCGGGGTCCCAGACGCGCTTTTGCGCATGCGAGAAAGTTCGTCCAGAAGGGCTCATCATTGGATGGATGCAAAGACTCGTGCAAAATCAACTGATGAGCCGAATGGGGGTCTCCAGGTATCGGTTCAGGTTCATCATCATCGAATAGGTCCTCTGAAAACAAATTTGTGAACATAACTTGTAAGTGCAATTCACCAGGCATACCAAGGTCGCCATCAGGATGCCCTTCGTCTTCGCCATCAGATGCCGCAGCTTCGATATCAAGAAATTGAAGAACGTTGCTGTTTCTGCTAATGTGCTAAGTAAAAAACGTCAGCTTCACTTTTTGGAAGACAGTGTGCCATACCATCACTTTTCTCTTTTTCGAAGGCCTCTTGACTTCTGGCGATGAGATTTTCGGCTTTCAGGACAGTTCAGACCATGAGTATATGAATGGCAAGTAACTATTTAAAAGTACAAACAGTATTTGACATAGGTATATCACTATCTGACATAGTAATTCGACTGACAAGAAGCAGAAAGCGGTTCGGTGATGTTGATCAGCATTTTGTTGTCACGACTTTAGGGCAGCCTGCTGCTGATCATGTGATCATATATATTTACATTGGGATCGCAAACTTAGGGATCGAAACTTTACTAAGAAGCTCAGCTACTTTATGTGTAGGGGTATATATGAGGAGGGCTTGCACCACAACACAGATGAAGATCATAAGTAGCATCTGCCGAAAAGAAATACCGCCTTGGTGAACAATGCGTGAAGATGGAATTGGAAGGATCTCCTGGTAGGCCGTCTGAAAACGAACGCTAAGATAACAGTCATGAAATAATCACCTTCGTGGGAGTCTAGATTTTAATCTGAACATCTTCAGCGCCGGAGGAGCCTGTAGCAATTACAAAGTCACCTTCGCCAGAAATAGCCTGAAAACAAGTGAGAATGGTATAAGCGCAGTTGTGAAGAGAGGACATACGTCTACAACCTGTACCAGGTCTTCGACGAATGAGATTCGGAAGAACTTGTGAAGCGAAAACGTACCTTTTCCATGATGTAATAGTTGGAAAGGTGTCCTGTGCGCTGATCATACAGGCGTGGGCATCCATCGTCGCTTCCAACAACAAATAGTGAGGAGCCAGGTATCGCTGAGACCAACAGTGGAACGTTTTGGTTAATGGGATGACAGAAGGTGCGTAAGGGTTCCCGGGGGGGTATGGAGTACGTATCGACCCCATCGACAAGATTCGAGACGATTAAGGTGCGGCCATCACCACCAATCGGCGATGGCCGCATGACCTCTGAATGTATTAAGTCAGCACCAAGTCCAAAGAGCAAGTAGCGTCGTACATTCTCGTAGTGAGCTGTTGGCTCCATTCCTTAGACCACGGTTCGATCTTCTGACTGACGCTATTCGAACTGTTAACAGATTACGCTCATGGAGAAAGAAAGGCTTACACTTGATGAGACTCCAGGTAACAAACGAGAAGACTTGAACCTCGGTCAAGAAAATCTACACTGCGAACGACGAACGGTTCAGGGGTAAGCGCATGCAGCAGTTTCAGGTGACCTAGAGGGGTTTGTGATTCAGGTAAGGAATTTCAAGTGTTTCGAAATGCTGACCATCCGAATCCATCTGCCACACCTTTGCGGTACCGTTCCCCGCTGTGATGCAAGGCGATGATGGTTCATATCAAACGCGAGGGCCTCAATGCGGTTATCGTGGGCAGGTATTGAGCAACTGAGGCGGTAAGACCCCTGAATGAGAAGATCAAAATAAAATTGGGTTAAATGGTAGATAGAACTTACGGTTTCATGAGTTTGTCGGTAGACAAAGGCTCGGCCATCGGCACAGCCGAAGGCGAACGAAGTGGTTGGGCCTTCTGGGGAAATGGGAGTCCAGATAGCCGCGCAGACAGGTCCATTAAAAACAACCGATATTGCTTGGTGCAGAGACCCTTCTGTCACATCCCAGATAAAAAGTTGTCCATCATCCCCTGAAAGAATAAGGGAGTGATGGGCTTCATCAGCAGGCGGAAACTTACCGCCACTTAATAACATCCGAGCGTCCTTACTCAGTTTGAGCGTGTTCAACGGCTTGGTATGCTTGCGGAGGGCGTACTTGCATTCGAACTGCCGGGGGAACATGAGTGTGTGATCCAAGTAAGAAGTCGGTACTCACTGTCAGGATTGTGGAACCCATGTCGATAAGAAGACTGGCGTATAAGTACGCGCAGAGGCATTATTTTCGATGATCACTTTTCGATGATCATTCTAGGTTTTATGTTAGCCAGAAACAATAATGACGAAAAATCGCCGTGCACAAGAGATGACGACGGTGAGCATTTTTTCCAGTGTCTACATTCAGGTTGCCTTTCTGTATTCAATTTGAATTGCTGCAATTGTCTACCGGCTGAATATCCAAGCTAGCCATAAAGAGGATCAGATTATTGTGCTATGCGTGCTACAGTACTAACTAATTCGAGAAGAGGAGAAATGGGAGAAAAAGGAGGGGACGAACAGTCACGAAAGCAACTGATGAGGGGAGTGGAAAAGAGACGGAAGATGAGTGGGGGACGTATTTGGCCTAGGAGTTTTAGGGCAGGGTGCGTCTACTTAGGGCAGGCTGCTCTGATTTTCGCACTATATATTTTGATGACCAAGCGAATAAAGGCTTCTTTCCTTCCTCCACTCAGCCTTCCTCCACTAATTTCGAATGATCTCCTTCAAATGCCTCATCACTTTGTAGAAAACGCAGATAGTTTTTGTAAATACTGTACTACTAGCTCGATCATTGAAAATCTAAGAACAAAAGACACAAATGGCATAAGAACGTATCTGGGATTGAGAGAAATGGAGAGTTCTCCATATCTGCCGTCGACCTAGTCATTGGAGTGGGTAATGACCACACCCATGGCTGTAGGCCTATGCCATATAAACTGGAATAATCCACCTAACTGTTTTCCATAGGTGGTGGATTTTTCCAAGCCTTTCCCTCTGTGGATTAATCCACTCACCTCTGTAGCAATGACTTCAGAGGGGTATGTCTGATGGGAAACAATATACTGGAGATGTAGGAGGTATATAAGTCTTGATATTTTCATTTATTCCGCCTTCATATCTGTCATTCCAGCCTTTGATGCTAACAATTGTAAACAAAGGCATATTTGAGCATCTGGTGATGTTTTTTCTTTCTACAGTCTGTTTCTCTTGGAAAAAAAGACCGCAAAACCCTCCAAATATATGCTAGATTATATTTACACCTCCTCAAATGTTTTCCGCAGCCTGACTTGTGTCAAAATTGATGGATTGGTTCCAGATGGTTTGGATGACGCTTTCACTGACGCGGAAAGGGATTGACCAATACGTACAAACAAGATTACTAATATTAGCGCTCTGAGATTCCCAGTCCCCAATGCTACCAAAATGTACCTACTCATCATCGTCCTCCACCAGCTCCTCGAGTATGGGATCAACGGAAGCATACGGACCCTCTCCGCTATCTTCCTGCCTAACGATCGGCACCATTGGCTTGTCCCACAACCGACTGAATCGAGTGCGCAGCATATGCTGCATATTAGCTTGACGGCTCGCATATGCATTCACCCCCTCCATCATCGCCTCGTCCAGCCCTTCCCACCCTTTCCATAGATCCTCCCACCAGGCGGCTCTCCATTCCAATGTCTTTCGGATGCGTCGCATTTCCTCCCTCAACAAGTGAGCTTCTTCCCACCACCTCAGGTGCCTTGTGCGTGCTTTTGCCCACTCAACACGAACAGCTGTGGCAACGTCGGGAGTTAAGTACTTACATGTTGAAAAGAATAATAAGAGACAAACCTTTGTGTAGAACCTCATCACTTTCATCCCCGACTCCCTGTGGGGTTGTCCATATCCACGATACAATTTTTTTCCCTTGTCCCAATCCTTTCTTGATGTCCGCCCGCTTTCTTTTTGACAACTCGTGTCCATCAGGTCCGAACAGGTCATCTGGATCTTCTATGCTAATCTTGTGCCCGTCTGGCGTTGTTAGATCGCCGTCCTTGAGTTCTTGAAGGTGGGTCTCCCAATCACCCGGACCCAGCAGGGCCAAAAGCGCTTTGCGTGCTGCTCTGTACTTCACTGCGAGAGCCTTTGACTTGTCCTCCAAGCGGCTGATTGTGTCTTGAGCTCTGGTGTTGGGGTTCTGATTACGGATGTTGCGGTTACGGAAGCTGATGAAGGACAGGTGACCACGTTGAAGGCTGCGGATTTTGTCAAGCATATCTTCGCACTGTGCCCGCCGCAGCCTGATCTCGATGTCGATAAGTGTCGCGTCGCAACTGTGCTTACGATGATTCTCGGGCAGGGTTGAGGGCAGCCATAGAACTTGGTGCTCGACATCGGTGAGCGAGTCGCCGATTTGGGATGACTGATTCGTTGACTGTTGCTCGCGCCAGGACTCCTCGTTCTGTGCTTGCACCGATGTCACCAAGGGCATATAGATCACTTGAAGATTCCGGAAGTGCTTCAGTTGCCGTAGGAGTAGAAGTCGGCGGTGCTGGATTTCGTTGTCCTGATTTGTTGTTAGCTGATTTGGCTTCCTCGCGTCCCAGCAAATGCGCCGCCTATTTTGAAGTTGTTAGTCATCGTAAATCAACAAGGGGAGAACACCTACTGATTCTCCTCAACCAGTAATCCTAGCGTTATGAACCCCGTCTGACTGGTGTCGTGTAACTGAGGTACTCCCACCTTCAGGGCGATCGCTTCTTCCTTGAGGAGTTGTTTTTTCACTTCGTCTTGAGATGCGTCTAAAATGAACATTTGTAAATGCGGTGATAAGGAAGATAATTGGGTACGTACGGGTAATGATGGATACATAAGGATTCTTCTGCTTCGGATCATTTTCCCACCGGAGAATGATGTCGGTCCATTGCTTCTCAACCTCAGGTGTGAGGGAAGCCGAAAAGTCTTCAAATATCTTTTGTTGCCGTTTTTCCTCAGCTGTGGCAAGGACCAAACGTGAATGTAAAGATCGGCCTTGAAAAAAATGTTCATCAGTCTAAGTAGAGAGGACGACAGTAAACTTACCGAGTCCAATGTATTTTCGAAAGTTATGATGACCGATATGGTCGTCAAGGGTGTCGTGATGAGAACCTGGGCCCATTTCTTTCGTGCTATTCACGACATGGTTCAGTTCCGACCAGCTGCACTCAATACCTTCACCGTCGGTCCGTCCCACACCATTCTTGAAGTTTAATGAGTGCGGTGCTTGACACGACACCTTGTGCATAGGGCAGTGGCACTTGGGTATCCCCCACTCGAACTCGACGTTGGGAGGGAGCTGGATTTCAGGCGGCAGCTTGTCGACCCTTTCATCAAATTTTAACTTGAACTGACAGGCGATATCATATGATACGAAAACAGATGCGATGAGGAGTGGAGCGAGGGCCGAGAGCAGGATATAATCCATGTTGCAATACCTGTCCGAGGCGTCAGCCACCGGTACTGATAGTGATTTAAACGAGACAAACCTTTCTCCTTTCTGTAGGTCTGCAACCCCCCCTCCACGAACGATCTCATGGCGGGCACAAAGAGCCATTCCGACGCCCGTGGAACGCAACCCGGTGGAGAACTTGGTCTCAGTGTGAGCCAACGTTTTGAAACCACTACAGTTGCTTATCTACGAAGACGTCGGTTTTGTGATAAAAGTTGATAATGAGAGCCACTTACATCTTTCTGGGTGGCGTATTTGAGAACATGTTCACGGTATGGCTTGTCATCGGGAAAATAGGCCATCCCCGTGTGTAGGCCAGGGTCCTTAGCGATGGATGATCGCATCAGGTTCTTAAGTCGAAAGTTGGCGTCCATCGCTATGATCAGAAGGTAAAGGAATCTACAAGGAGAACCGTGGTCAGGCAACAATCACATACGGATTTATCACTCTACTCACTTCCACTTCGAGTCAACATCCTTCCAGTTGGCCGGCAGGTTGACACCTGGGACTGGACATGTGGGACAGTCAGGGGCAAGGTCTCCGGCCCCAGTGGCGATGAGACCTCCTTGAATGTTGCCTCGTCCTGCACGTTTCATCAATTTAAGATGTCGAAACATGCGAATCATTTGCATGAACGACTTATAACGTGTCTTAGGAAAAAAAGGGAAATATGAGCGATGGCGAATGGTCAGAAACGACAACACTTACCTTTGGAACGTTCAACTCCGTATTGTCAGTCAGGTACTCCATGGCCTTGTAGTACTCGTGAGCGGATAACTTGCCTGCCAAAGTGATGACGTGGAATGTTTCGAGTAGACGAAAAGTTGCACAAGTCTGAGGTTGGTGAACGGTTGCAGGGAACCACTCGCTTCGGAGGAGCTGCTGCTGATTGCTTATCCTGTTGTCGCATCCACAGAAATCCACGGCAACGTAGTGCAACCCATTTGTGTGAAGGACCATAAAGTCCTTGTGTCCAGGTTGCGGCGCGACACATCGAGAACTGGCAGGGTGGCCGAGCTGAACTCTGAGGCCCAAGTCTTTCAGCGATACTTTGTCGAAACACGCGCCGTCCCATTTCTAAAACAATTGATCAGTCAACTAAAAGTGAATGAAGGTCTCATGATCAACCAACCTTGATGATGTGGAGAGGTAACTGTCGATGGCGCTTGAGCGTGCAGTTCAAGCACTCCGCCAATGGTCCCAGACAATCCTCACAGCGGTAGATTCCAGCCGGGGAGGAGCACGACATGCACCCATGGAAGTGTTCCCCCCCCCGCCCTTCAAGCCTAAGCAATTCAAGCAGATATTCCTCCCTATAGCCTGGATCACACCGATCCTTTCCAGCCCACTCGTGCAACGGAGCATCCTGAAAGCCCGTGTTTGTCAAAACACAATCAGTTCTCAGGTTTCGAGCCACTTACCGAAGTGGGGTACCGTTTTGCTGCAACTTTTGCAGCCACGGTGCCTTGAACATTTTCTTCGACATTTATTAGGGGTGACTCCTCCCCGAAATCTTCATACTCGATGCAAGGGTTCCAGTCGTCGAATTCCTGTTCTACGAGGGGCCAACTCTGAGCAGAGGAGACTTTCACGGGGGAACAAGGTGTTTGGAGGATACGAAAACCATTATCAGAAATTTGGACAGTGCGGGAGTGACCAATGTGAAGCTTGTCGTCGTGCTTGTCGTCGCGAACAACAACGAACTTGCTCTTTCTTTTGTAACAGCCCTTGGCCATGTTGATGGGAAAACAAGGGTCGTCACCAAGTCGTCACATGTGCTCACACGCCAACATCAATAACATCAACAACAGTGGTATGTACATACAGCAGGACAACTGAAGAACGTGCAACTACTCGACCAAGCTAACTACAGGAAATTGAAGTCGAAGTCTCCCTCGCTCGAGGTATCCTCCTGCGTGGTCTCTCCCAAGCTCGGTCCCGCTATTGCTTTCTCAATGTCTTCGAGGCCGATCATTGGGGTCGGAAGGCCGTTCATAATTTTTTGGATCGCAGAATTTAACTCGGCATTCCAACTATGTTTCGGAGGCGACTCAGCATCAGCCCGCTCTGGGAAGAGGAACAACATCCAGCCAACTTTGCTACGGACAAGCTACGACAGATCTAAATATCAGAAGCCGTCACATACAAACCAAGGACTAACCTTTTGCCGCAATTTCAAAATGTAAGCCCCGTAATCGGTGTCCATGTAATCCTTATTCACTCTTATCTCCTCCTCAGGCTCCGGAAATCTGAGGCACCATACGAGATTGGCAATAGCAATATGTAAAGTCATGGCAATCCTTCAGCCATATCCCCACATGAACTTATTATGTTTTGAGATAGGACAGTAGGTATCAATATGAAAAGCTTAGAATAGCCTTTCCTAATGTGAAAGACAACTTGTGCATGATGTCAAAAACTAATGCTGCAGCACTGGCAATATGTAAGGTCATGTCAATCATTCAACCTCATCCCCATAACCTAGACTGGGCCAAGGACACCATAATCTACATGTCAACTACAAACTTTTGTAGTCTAAAAAAGCGGACACTACACACTTTTTCAAATTAAAAAGCAGACACTACAAACTTTTCTAATGAAAAAGCGCACACTACAAACTTTTGTAGTCTAAAAAAGCGGACATTACACACTTTTTCAAATGAAAAAGCAGACACTACAAACTTTTCCAATAAAAAAGCGGACACTACAAACTTTTGTAGTCTAAAAAAGTGGACAGGACAACCTTTTCTAAAGGCTCTAAGTCCAACTTTTGTAGTCTTTTGTAGTGTATCAGTAAAATTTGTAGTCTATGTCCGACTTTTGTAGTCTATCAGTAAACTTTGTAGTTGAGTCCGACTTTTTTGTAGTCTATCAGTAAACTTGGTAGTCTATATCTGACCATTCCTTTTCTAGGGCATGCACCTTCCTTTTTTGGTCATTTTTCCCACGATACAATAGTTGTAGCCCTTTCTTTTAGCTTTCTAAATATACTGAAATCATATTGTTTGGTTTTGTTTTCATGGAGAAAAATGCAAAAAACAAAAAAAAACACGACACTTTTGGGATTGCTTTACCTCATAACTCCACAATGGGAGCACTTCAGAACATAATTCAAACAGATTCAGGAAGCTACAGTGTAGGGCTACAACTTTTGTTTTTGACCATTTTTGGTAATTGGTCATGTGACCATCATCCCAACATCCCATTACATGGACCCTGATAGGTAAAATCATTCTCCTCTTGGTTTTCTTCACTTTTTGGTCAAACCAGGTGATATTTCCCTTTTGGGATGGAACCTGAAGGCAGTGCCTGATGTTCTGTACACCATTTTTATATATATTCAATTTTTCCGCTATTTTCTGGCTATTTTTGGATATATTACTATATTTGGAATTGGACCCTGGACCCTGACAATATTACCCAACATGATGATCAGCAATGAGCCCTAATTTTTCCTGATTTTATTGCTATTTTACCTTTGGAAATGCACCCTGGACCCTGAAAGGTCAGCTGCCACTAAAAATGAAATATTCAATGAAAGCGCCAGGTACACATATGAAAAGTGCAATGAAATCTCCTAGGAATAAGAATGAAATATCCATTGAAAGCACCAGGCATCCAAATGAGAAGCGCAATGAGATATCCTGGGGCTAGCAATGAAATATCCAATGAAAGCACCAGATATATCTATGAAAAGTCCAATGAAATATCCTAGGAACAAGAATGAAATATCCATTGAAACCGCCAGGCATTCAGATGAAAAGCACAATGAAATATCCTGGGGCTAACAATGAAATATCCAATGAAACTGCCAGATATATATATGAAAACTCCAATGAAATGTCCTGGAGCTAATAATGAAATATTCATTGAAAGCGCCAGGTATCCATATGAAAATTGCAATGAAATATCCTGGGGATGAGAATGAAATATATATTGAAAGCGCCAGGTGTCCATATGAAAATTGCAATGAAATATCCTGGGGTTGAGAATGAAATGTATATTGAAAGCACCAGGTATCCATATGAAAATCGCAATGAAATATCCTAGAACAATGAGATATGCGATCTCATTGAACCTCTAGGCATTATACACATCGCCCTCCAGGCATATGTCTGGTTTTTATCATAAAAGTGTATACCACCCATCGAAACCAGTACTTGGCAGAGCGACGGTTTGGGAATCAAGTAAGGTATAATGCAAAGTTGGCGGTGAGAGCAGCCGCCATGCGACGATGCCCTTCCGCGACGCTAGCTACGCGAGAAAAACTACTACAGGACACACCGATCACGAGAGGTGAAGTGACTTCCCTGGTAAAAAAATATTAAGATCTCGAAAACTAATTTCCGAAGGGGAGAGAGCTCACCAGCCACAAAAAATACCAATGTCCCGACCACGACTCACACAAAAGAAGGGGCCGCCAGCGTTGGGGGGAGGGATATGGTACCCGTATATGGCTGTGATGAGATTGCCTGGTGGAATAATAGCGTTGTCAGGCCTGTTGGGAGGTAAAGCATAGCCTGGGGTGTAGAGCGCGGGAAGGCCGATAACATTAGCAGCTGGGCTGATGGCATTGGGGGCTGCTGCAACGGGAGCGGTTACTGCAATGGAAGCGGTTACAGCAGAAGGAGGAATAACCGCGGCTGCAGGAGAGTTGGTGACCTGTGGGGTCACCATCTCAGATGTGTCACCGTCGTTATCATCACTGTTGTCAACCTCCGTGTGAGGACCGGGGGAGGAGAGGACTTCGAAGCCATCTTCGACAGCGGTTGCTTGACTGTTGTTGGGGCTGTCACGGTGTGCGGGAGTGACAAGCCGAATGACGCTGGTGATGAGAACACAGCTTTCACGATCGTGAATGCCGAGGTTGTTGAATAAATCTTCAAGAACTGTTAAAAACGTAAATATCGGAGTGAGTAATTAACAGGTGAAAAAGGAAAAAGCACCTGTCATGGAAGGTGCACCCTGGGCTGTTCAAAGGTTTGCGTTAGACGGGGGGGGGGACAATGAGATGGGACTAGTCTTACGGTCATCGGCCAATGTCGATGGGGCCCGGGGTGAACCGAATCCAGTCAAGCGTGCGGGCATATTATTGAGACGAGAGGAAGTGGTTTGGACAGATGGTGGGGGTGGTTGAAAGGAATAGACGCGGTTCAAAAGTGGGGTTTTATCTGGCAGCGCAACGGTGCTTCTTAGCTCACAAAAAAGGACAAAAGAGAAAGTCTATTGAGCGTGATCCGGCGGATACGTGGCCAAATGTACGTACATGATGCCAACGAAGGCCTCCTCCCTCACATCGATGAGCGCAAACATGTTCGATTGGTGCCCGAAAAAGGATGAATTTTTTTTTTGGTCGTTTCTTCTGGCGGATAAAGAATGAAGGTAGGTGGCATGGGACGGGGAATGTCCCTCTCTCAAAAATCGACTGCTAACATGGCCGACGTCGCACAGGGTGCGGCCAATGTTGTCCAGGATGAAGTCGATGTTGACGTCGTCGAAAATGAGTAAGAGACTAAGCTTGTTCTTGTTTTATTTCAAAGTTTGACACGTTGATCCAGGGCTGCACTTCTCACCCCGCTGAAAAAAGGGTGGGCGAAATGTTCCCGCCAAAAATTCTTGAAATCCCATCTTGAAGAATACAAGACTGCGCTACTCGTCTCTCACGAAAAGGCCACCTCCTTCCTCGACGGCATCGTTAATCTATGGTTTTCGACGTATCACTGGTCGATCCCAGTCACGCAGGAAGAGTTGCCGACATCACCGCCTTTCCCTACCGGCGCCGACGGTTTCGAGATATTGACCGAGAAGCAAGCAACCTTGAAAGGGAAGGTGATCGAGCGTATGAGAAAGGTTAGTCGCCCTTACGTACCTCGAGATGCTCGTTTCTCGTTGCTAATCTGTTTCAAAGTCATTGTACAATTGGTTCAACCATCGCTCTAAAAAGACGAAGACCTTGAAGCGGTCGAAGAGTACCGAAGACCCCTTGTCTATTTTAGTCAACCGCCTCCTGGGTTATGCAGGCCCAGCCAAGCTCCGCACTGGCTGGGAAATGTGGGGCACGGCCAACTACGAGTCCCTCAGGGAACCCTTCGAAGAGGCGTTTAGAGAGAGCGGCAAACCTGAAAAACACCACGCGACTTTTCGGAACTCGTTCAAGAAGAAGGAATTTCTCAAACTGAGTGAAGAAGAACAGCCCTAGCTGTAAGAATTGACCAAATTGTGCTGGACCTGCCCACTTTTTTCTATTGCATAGAGCATGGATATGTCCACTTGCCAAAAAGCAAAAGTTTCCAGCACCCGTTTCAATTCCGAAAATGTTTCTAAAAATTTCCACCTATAATAAAATATACCCCTAGAATAGGTTTTCTGAAAGAATATAGTTCTACAGCATCTATTTTTAGCCTCAGTGGCTTTCTGAATGTTTGTGATTTATTCCAGATCTAAATATAGCTCAGATGTATTTTATGATTTAAAATTCTCAGAAATGGTACATCCTGGATCAGTATTGATGACTGGTATGTTTTCCTATATATTTTGTTTTCCCAAAGAGCATCCAGAGATATTTTCCAGAATGTTGTGATTCATTGCAAATCTAAATATAGCTCAGATATGTTTGATAGTTGAATATTCTCAAAATTGGTACATCCAGGATCAGCATTGATGACTGGTATGTTTTCCTTATTGCTGTGTATGTTTTGTTTGCCTAAAGAGCATCCACATATGGTTTTTTTTTGAGATCCAGAATATTTGCAAACCTAAATATAGCTCAGTTATGTTTCATGATTTAAAATTGTCAGAAATGAAACATCCTGGATCAGTATTGATGACTGGTATGTTTTCCTGTATTCTGTGTATGTTTTCCTTTCCAGAAGAGCATCCACATATGTTTTTTCCATGTCAAAATCCTTCTGAAAAAGCTGCATTTCACCAGAATATTCCAGTTGTGATAATTCTCATTTTTCTCCTTCAAATCTTGTGTTACAGCTACTCAGAGCTACCAAGTAATGCAGAGATATATTTCTGATTTTTTTCCAAAAATTTCCGCCTTGATCAGAGATGTGGAGATGATGGATGCACAAGTCATGTTTCGGATGACCTTTTGTTCTTCTGGGCTTCTAGGTAACAAACAACTGTCAACAAAGGTAGTTTCTGAGGGGAAAATCACAAAAGTACGCTTTGGAGGGTGTCATTCAAGTCATTGATGCTCTTAAGTTCATATTTCCTCAGTTGCAATTGGTTTGTCTCATATAGTATGTATTTTGTGCAGCAATCCCACAGCTTTTTAGATGGATGGCTCAGGTTCCAGCTGGATGACGCTGCCAAAGGCGTTGCCACATAGATACAAATAGTTGCCTCCATGTGCTCAGAGGCTCAAAATGCAGGGTATCCATCCTTTGCACTTGCATTTTATAAAACATAGACATTTTAGTACTCTACAGGTAGAACATAATCCAATTTCTAACTTTCACATTCATGGCACTCCCGGAAGTGGATGGATGCGACGTGGTGAACTTGGATGATGTGTTTGAAGCTATAGACAAACAGATGCAAACTTCTGAAACACCATGAAAACATCGGAAAAACAACTGAAATTGGGCCAGGAGAGGGAGGGAACACTACACTGACATTAGTAATACACAGCAGCATGTTTAATTTACAACATTGGACTTGCTCTCTTATCATAATTTGGCTAAAAGTTAAGTAGAAAGGAGTATCTCTGTCTTTGAATGTCAAAAACATATCATTCCAGCAAATTGTAAGCTTATACATGCCAGCTATAGCATACCAGCATTCAGTGCATAANTAAAGGTGTATTAGGACAGGCAGTTTTAAATTTTGAGTGAAATAACACACCTGAAAGTCTTGTTCCATCTTTTTTAATTTTTAGGAGAGTTACAAAACATAGAATTGTGAT